GGGTGTGAGGGGCGGTTAGTCCGTTGGCCTAGGGGGGTCTGAGGGGCTGTTGGTGCGTTGGCCTGAGGGGGTCTGAGGGGCGTCTGAGGGGTGGTTGGTCTGTTGGCCTAGGGGGGGGTCTGAGGGGCTGTTGGTCCGTTGGTCTAGGGAGGTCTGAGGGGCTGTTGGCCTGGGGGCGTCTGAGTGGCTGTTGGTCTATTGGCCTGGGGGGGTGTGAGGGACGGTTGGTCCGTTGGCCTGGGGGGGTCTGAGGGACGGTTGGTCCGTTGGCCTAGTGGGGTCTGAGGGACGGTTGGTCCCTTGGCCTGGGGGGGTGTGAGGGGCGGTTGGTCTGTTGGCCTAGGGGTGTCTGAGGGACGGTTGGTCCGTTGGCTTAGGGGGGGTCTGAGGGACGGTTGGTCACAGGCTGCCCCCGGCCTTGGGGCCAGAGTAGCTCACAGACCCCTCAAAGGGCAGCAGTTGACTCCCGCAGCCACACTGCAGTATTTCCCTAGGGTACATCTGGATTCTTAAAAGCATTTATGCCTACACTACGGTGTTACAGTAGTTTCAAGAGGAGGGTAGACTCATGTCTTTGTGTTTAAATCCTAATTTAGAACTGTGGTGTTTTGCCCTTGGATTCTGTCCAGTGTGCATCAGCGAGAAGTAACCCCAACAGCCTGTGCTTCTGCGTGTTGAGTCTTTCTTGATCTTTGGCCATGAATTATGAAATGTGCTCACTGGCCTTGGGCAATAGAGGCTTTCCAGATTTTCTTTATGTAAAGATGCTCCAGGGGTTGCGCAGACAGGCAAAAGTCACTCCTCCTAGATTTCAAGAGGAAAAGACTGCTTCTAAACTTTATTTTTCAAAGCCATTTCTGTTTTCCTTCCAAGTATTTGGCTTGCATGCCAGCAAAGAACAGATTTACTAAACTATATTGTGTTGAGTAGAGTTTAAAAGTCAAAGTACTGGTGATGTTTACCTGATATTTTTTTTTTTTAAGGAAATCAGTCATGATACTAAGAAATTCCGATTTGGGCTACCTTCACCAGATCATGTATTAGGATTACCTGTAGGTAAGTACTGAAAACGCTTCATCACGTACATTTCTTTTTGGGGATTTATAACTGTATTCATAGTTCTTGACTTCCGATTGTTTGGGAATTTAAGGCTCAGCAAAGCAAGGAGTTAAAAGCTGCATCTGAATGCTGCTGTGTCAGAGAGAAATGTCAGATTTCCCAGAGGGTTGTATTTCTGATCTTGTCTGTGTGCATTGTTCTGCTTCTGTTAAATCGTGTGGTGTAGTTTAGAAGAAGAACAGTGAAACAACTGAGTCTGATGAAATTCATCACCAGACAGGATATAAGCAAGAGTGGTACCTGTCAAAGCCTTTTCATGTTTCTTATTTGCATTCAGCTTCTACCAGGTGCCCTCAGTTTATTGTCAGCTGCCCCCATACATTTGGTGAATAGGGTCACACTTGGAGAAAGAGAACAACTCTTCTGCCTGGGAAGCTTGTAACTATTCTGTGCAGAACAAAGGGGAAAATATAACTGCTGTATATAGAAGATGCTGAAATATTAAGAGCCTTTTCTGTGCATGACCTTTGATTTACATACACATGCGTGCAACTTTGTCTTGCTTTCTGTGCCATGAAGTTCATTTCAGACTAGGATTGGCACAGTCTGCTTTCCTGTACCCTGCAAAACTGATGGCATTGAACCTTGGACCTTGAATCAATGATAATCTGCGCAGGGGAAAGTTCTCCCTGTCTGCTCTGCAGCTGTGGCAGATGTAGCCCTGTTTGTTCTGTACTGTGTTTCGCAGTTTCCTGTGCTGCATGGCAAGTGTCAGGGTCTTTCCCTTTCCATGCTGTGAGCACGTCCTTCTTGCATGCTGCTGGTCAAGGGCAGCAGTCTCTCTCCAGATTCTCTTCTGGTTTGTATGGGAAAGTGTAATTGAGCTGTCCACATTAACTAGACAAATAATAAACAAATTGAGGTGTACCCTGCAGTGCTTGTGTTTATCCAGACTTTATTCTTAAGAGTTTAAGAACAAGATCGTGAAACTGTACAGGCCAGGTTACTTCCTGGGAGATTCCTACCCTTCTGCTTTTTACCAGGAAACTGGAACAGGAAATTCCATCTAAGCATAAGGAAAAACTTCTTTAATTTGAGGGTGACAGAGCACTGGAACAGGCTGCCCAAAGAGGTTGTGGAGTCTCCTCTGGGGATATTCAAAACCTGTCCGGATGCATTCCGGTCCAACCTGCTCTAGGTGAACCTGCCTTGCCAGGTCCCTTCCAACCCCTACCATTCTGTGATTCTGTGAACAGCCCAACAGAGAGCAACAGTGAACAGCAAACTTCCTATATTGCTACTTTGCTATAAATTTCCACCCTTCCTCTTATCTTACCCTTGATTCTGTAATGTACCAGCTCTCCTCAGTTACCCCTGCTCCAGAAATTCTTGCTGAAAGACTAGATGTTTTATACAGCATTTACATGGTAAAGATTTCCTCCATCATTACTTGTTATGTTACCTGCTTTTCTCATTTGTCTTGTCTTCCAGGATGAAAAAATAAATAATCAGATTGTAATTTTTTCTCCCTAGGACAACATGTTTACCTTTCTGCAAAAATCGATGGTAATCTGGTGATTCGAGCCTATACCCCGGTTTCCAGCGATGAGACAAAAGGTTACGTTGATTTAATTATAAAGGTAAATTTTGGTTTCCTTTAACACAGATAAATTGCTAACTGGAAGGAAGGAAAGTACTTCATTTTAGTGGAATACAGAGTTTATTTTGATTGATCTTCTTCCAAATAGGATGACTACAAGGGCAACAAAGATGGTGAGGGGTCTGGAGCACAAGTCTTATGAGGAGAGGCTGAGGGAGCTGGGGTTATTCAGCCTGGAGAAGAGGAGGCTGAGGGGAGACCTTATTGCTCTCTACAACTACCTGAAAGGAGGGTGTAGAGAGATGGGGGTCGGTCTCTTCTCTCAAGTCACAGGCGACAGGACGAGAGGAAATGGCCTCAAGTTGCCCCAGGGGAGGTTCAGGCTGGATATTAGGAAAAAAATTTCACCAGAAGGGTTATCAGGCATTGGAATGGGCTGCCCAGGGAGGTGGTTGAGGCACCATCCCTGGAGGTGTTCAAAAGACAGGTTGCTGTAGTGCTGGGAGGTATGGTTTAGTGATGATGCTCCTTGTTTGTTGTGTGGGTGTCTAGTTTTGTCAGAGTTAGGTTGACGGTTGGACAAGATGATCTTTAAGGTCCCTTCCAACCTAGAAGATTCTGTGATTCTGTGATACATGGGGAAAATTCATTTCACGATTTCTTTGAATAGTAAGCTCTATCCCGTGTCTCTGCTGTATGTTACTGAGAGGTAGCAGAGGCAGGGCAGGCAGAGAAGAGATTCACTTCTTTGGCAGTACTGCAGGAACTCCCCTGGTATCTTTTGTTTAGCCACACACAAATAGAAGTCACTGTCCCACCACTAGTGCTCACTGCTCGTAGCTCTAAGTAGGAAACAAGTCAGTAAGAACGGCTATCTTTGGTGATGCTACAGATTGCCATTATACATCTGTGAGCATCAGAAGTTGTGCTGACGTGTTTATTGGTTAATGGGATACAGAAACAAGGGAAATCCTGAAATCCTTTAAGCTAAGGAATGCAGGATGATTCGATCCCAGAACGTCTGGATTTACTAGGCAAAAATTAGTCCTTAGGCAAAATTCTGGCTTTTTTTTTTGCTCGCTCTATTCTTCATGTTACAAGTATGGTGAATTGTTATTAACTACTTAATACTTAGGTGCTTTGAAAGGTGAAAAAGCTATCATGGTGCTGAAGCAGGAATGCTATTTTCAGAAGGAGTGATTACAAAAATGGGGTGACATAAGGTTCTTGGTGGAGGGATAGTTTAATGAGGGCACTAGTACATAATCTGCCTGCTGCCTATTTCTGTGAGCTTGGCTGTTTGCAGAGAGCACAGGAATATGTCCATGAGAGAGCATTTTATTTCTTTTGGCTGCTTTCTGTTGCAAGGCACATCAGATAACTGAGAGCAAAGAATTGTCTCAGTTTCATTCTCAGATGCTAAATTTCAGACCCGCAATATTGTGTTCTACAGTGTGTAATATTGTCTGGAGGAAAGCTAGTGGTTGATGTCATACAAATTATTGTTTTTACAGGTCTACCACAAAAATGTGAATCCCAAGTTTCCAGAAGGTGGGAAGATGTCCCAGTACCTAAATGACATGAAGATTGGAGATACTATTGATTTCAGAGGGCCAAATGGGCTCCTTGTCTATAAGGGCGCAGGTACTGTGATACGAAGGTGGGAGAGCAAGAAAGAGGAACTTGTATTGGTTATTTTCAGAAGTGTTTTTTAAAACTTGACAGCTTTGTAGAGAATCTTTTTTTTTAAAAAGTGGAAAAGAGAAAATGTACCTTTCCTGGTCTTGGCCAAGAGACCACCAGAATAGATATGATGGGAAAGAGTACTTTGTGTTTACTTTATGTGAGGAATAGCTGGTTATTGTCTCACTCCTTGGGCTGTATAATTAAATCTGAAAAAAATCACTATTGCATTATATTACTGAGAAGGCTGTACTGTAAATAATGCCCTGGCTATACATACGGAGGGACACGTTCCAGATGCTTCTTAAGCAAGGGAGGTTGTGGCCTAAAATGCCCTCTGAGAATCTCATCTTTGTTACTGAATAACCCGCTGACTGAAAGCCAGCTCCATTTCATGATTAAACCAGGCCTGAGTTGACTGGAAGTAAGTTCAGAGAAGTAATCCTCTTTCAAGATGCAAGTGAAAGATTTTGCACTGATTTTGACTGAGAGGGACTGTGTGCTTTATTCTCATCTCTGTGAGATAAGTACTCAGCACTTCTGTAGATCATGACCTTTTAAGATGAATAATATACTGATGAAGCTGTTGTATCTCGGAGGAAACAAGCAATGCACATTCTACAAATGTTCCTTTCTGCTCTGATTTGGCTGCTCTAAAGAGTAGCAGCTAGGAAAGCTTGTTACTGCTTACAGATCTCTTAAAATGGGAATGTGTCAAGGGTTTTTCATATAGGATACTTTTCATGGGCTTTTCGTTTGGCTTGGTTCTTGGAGATAAATTCAATTACAAACTGTCTGGTTTTGTGATAGTTCTGAAGCAATGGTATTGCCAGGTGTGGAGCAGAAATCAGCGAGGTTTTCTCGTCACAAGATACTGGAACAGTCACCTAGCTGACTGCGAGTGTTGTGGGAATGTCATTAACTGGAAACGAATTACAATAATTAAATGCTTGATAAAAATATGCAAGGCTCCAAACATTCCTGATTTTAATCTCTGTAGGGGTTCTTGCATGATGCTGGTTTAATTACAACTCCATTGTGATGAAGATGGCCTAAGAAACCTTCTTCTGTGTAGTAGGGGCTGTGGTTACCTTTAGCTGCCACTGATGTTCACAGTTACTGAGTTGTGTTCTGGGCAATGATGTGGGAATCCTTGAATTTATTTTAAACTATATTGGGTAGCGGGGAAAGGAGTCAGTCAGTTGATCAAAGCTAGGACTGCAGTTTACAGAGACAAAGAAGTTTCTACTCTTTGTGATCAATGCTGTGCTGAGTCCATTTAGCATTTCCAGAAGATCTGTCCTAATTAATTGGTAGACCGTAGTAATTTATTCCCATGGAATTTGTATCTGAGTTTGTTTGGCAGTTAATGTACCTATAGGTTCTGAATATTTCTTCTAGGTACCTTTCTTATCAAGCCTCAGAAGAAATCTGAAGCAGAGAAAAAGTTTGCAAAGCATCTTGGGATGATAGCTGGAGGAACAGGTAAAACTGTTTTCATCATATGGAACGTCTAGAGAATGAAGATGTCTTTATGGACGTGTGTGAGGAATATCAAACGCTGTACTGTAGTAGCAGAGCACTTACACTTGTATTTCTTTTCATGAATGTTTGCCAACCTGAGGCTTTTCAGTGGCTTGAGCTCAGTCCCAGGGGCTAGCAACTTAAGAGTTTTAGTTTTGATCTACTGTGTGACCTCAGAGAAGTCACTTCATCTCTCTGAGCTCCAGTGTCAATGACAAAAAATACTTTAGGAGAATGTCTTGAGGGTAAAATTACTGTATGTGATAGAGAATGCTGAAGAGGAAAGAAAGCCCCAGATACAAGTCTTGTGTTTTTTTGTTTTGAAATGATTTGTAATAGAAAGCCCCAACCTCTGTGTTTCACGTGGATGAGGAGTTCAGAGTGTGTAGCCCTGTGCAAACTCAGCTCCACTGAAGGAACGCGCCATTAATATTGAACTGCAGTCATAGAAAGAAATACCCATTTTTAAACCACTTTATTTTTTAACAGGAATAACTCCTATGTTGCAGCTGATTCGTCGTATCACAAGTGATCCTAAGGACTCCACAAAATGTCACCTTCTTTTTGCTAATCAGGTGAGTATAATGATTCATCTCTTTTTGTCCTCCTTTAGTGGCCTACGTTTTTTTGCTGGCCTCAGAGGTTTTTAAACTGATGGGGCATTGACCCCTGGAGAAAATGCTGCTCTGCATGTTTCATACTCTGCCAGTGTCTTTGGGTTTGTATTTTCACGCAACTGTTTTTAAGAAAATATTATCTAAGAGAGTGCATTTAAAAATGATCCATACAGGGAGGGGCAGGAAATGGTTATTATGTGAGCCCTTAATATGTTGTCAATTTAAGGAGCAACTGTATAAAAAAACTTACCCATAAGGCCCTTTATAAATAATTCTGTGGTGCTGTCACAGTTGCCACAATCTTTTATTTGCTTTAAAGATGGCTCCTCATAGTTTCACTTGTGCTCCCTAATTCCTATATTAGGGAATAAATAGTGTGAACAGATCCTGATCCCTCTACTCATTTTACTCCTTCACTGATTTCAAGGAAACAGTATTTTGTTCCGTTAACCTGTTTCTACAGTTGACCTTCACCATGAAGGTACAGGACTGTATTTGCCAGGGTCAGAGACAAATCCACCTAGTTGTGATTAAAACATTGTTCAGATTGCCATCTTTAAGACAGTGTTTAGATGGCTATTAAGTCTCATAGTTTGTTGGTTTTAATTTGAATTTACAGAAACCTGTGATGATAACAGCCTATCATGTAAGGGGGGGGGATAACCTTCTTGGTTTGAATGAGTTATCATTGCATTTATTTTGCTGAATGTCAGATGAACTCAAAGTAGAGGGCATCTTGAGATGGTTTGGAGCTAAACAGGGGTCTTGTTTTGCAGACAGAAAAAGATATATTACTGAGAGCTGAGCTAGAAGACATCGCCAAGAGGCATCCTGATCAGTTCAAGCTTTGGTATACGCTGGACAGACCTCCACAAGGTAGGCTACTGGTACACACTGGAAATGCTTTTGCTCCTCAACAGTCAGAGTTGCACTCTTGTTCAAGAGGCCATTAGCATAATACCAAGTTCTCTGGTCTTAACTCTATTTTAAACAACAAAGACACCCCTCAGCCCCTCAGAAACAAGCCTTACTGCAACACCTGTTATCAAAAGTGTTCTAAACCAGCTGGACCTTAGAAAGTGTGAACCAATAATAAACACCAGTTGGGTCAGATGTGTGCAGTGGATCTTTTGATGTATTTATTTCAGGATGTGCCATTATTTTGGACTTCTCAGCAAAAGTTAGAGCTCTGTTTTGGGTGTTCTCTCTGATCAGGTTATGTTAGCATTTTCTTGGCATTAAATTGCTTATTACCTGTGAACGGTACATGCACAACTTTGATTTACAGCAGCTCTAGATTAGATTCTGGTAAAACAGAGCTGCCATACGTATAGATTAAGGCATTAAATGTAGTCTGGTGTAGCACTGAGGTAGAACTGGAGGGAGAGGTTGAACACTACTGAAACTCCTTTGAAACCTGGGTATTTGTGTTTGCTGATGTTGTATGTGATCTGAGCTTTTATTTAACAGACCTAAGAGCCAGACTGAGTCAGATCAAAGTTCTGTACCTGCTGTCAGCAATAGCCTGAGTAAATGACCAGAGTTACCAGCAGGCCTTGATACTCTTCCAGGCCTTATTATTGCTGAGTTCTGAGCCCAACGTAACAGATACAGTAACAGATCAGTGGACTGCTTCAGTATGACATTACCACGTCTCCTTTGGAGCCTGTGTGAGCTTTTTGGCAGTCTGTTAGTGACACCTCCTTTGAAACCTGGGTATTTGTGTTTGCTGATGTTGTATGTGATCTGAGCTTTTATTTAACAGACCTAAGAGCCAGAGTGAGTCAGATCAAAGTTCTGTACCTGTTGTCAGCAATAGCCTGAGTAAACTACCAGAGTTACCAGCAGGCCTTGATACTCTTCCAGGCCTTATTATTGCTGAGTTCTGAGCCCAACGTAACAGATACAGTAACAGATCAGTGGACTGCTTCAGTATGAAATTACCAGGTCTCCTTTGGAGCCTGCCTGAGCTTTTTGGCAGTCTGTTAGTGACATAGGATTAGCAGTTTTGTGTGAAGAATCACTTCCTCTGGTTTGCATTTGCCTTTTAATTCTTGTGTTGGGAGAGAGTGTGAATAGGGGCCTACCAACTGGTTTGATGTTAGTGATTTTACAGAAATCTCTCACTCATCCCTGCTGCCTCATCTCTTCTGAAGATTGCTGGTGTTCCCCACACATTACATACCTTTGCTCATCTTCTGAAGATTGCTGGTGTTCCCCACACAGCAGTCATTACATACCTTTGCTCCTCTTTGTTCTCTCAACCTTTCCCAGCTCTGCTGTTTCCCTTTTGGAGCTGACTGGATCACAACTGAATAGCAGTAGTCAAGATGCAGGCAAACACTGTATTTTTAATTTAATATGGTGTTCCCTTTTCCTTTCCTAATACTTCTTAATGTTTCGTGTGCCTTTTGACTGCTGCTATCATAATCCCAGTACCTTGCTCCCGATATAGGAGCCTAAAGCACATATTTTTGTATGCAAAGGTAGGATTATTTTTCCTCTTTTCCTTTCCTAATACTTCTTAATGTTTTGTGTGCCTTTTGACTGCTGCTATTATCATAATCCCAGTATCTTGCTCCCAATATAGGAGCCTAAAGCACCTATTTTTGTATGTGAAGGTAGGATTATTTTTCTTACTTGCCTCACTTTAAGTAGCAGAGGTATTCAGTAGTATTACTGCTTGAAATCATCTAGCATTTCTTTCCTTTCTCTTTTCTTTTTAATCAGTTAACAACACAGCAGAACTTTTGTCATCATCAAACTTTGTCACCACTTGATCTCCTTTCCATTTATTTTTTTTAATGTGTTGGAAGGCACAGGTCTCAATACCTCTCCTCCCATAACTGCCCAAGTGACCTCTCTTCACTGGAAAAGCTGGTTTATTCTTCTTGTATATTCCTACATGCCATCTAATTTTTTTAAAATGTCTGAAAGTCTATATGAACCCTTAGCAATCAATCAGTTCCTTGTTATACACACTTGTTGTCCCTGTCAAAGGGGACCATTAGGTTTGAACTCGGTGACAGCTTTTGCTCTCTCTCTGCTTGCAGGGATGGTGGCATAACTTAGCTGCTTGTCCAGCTACTTCCTGAGTACAACATATGGAGTTAAAAAAGGCTTCAGTCTGTACAGAGATTCAAATTAATAGTTTAATTTCTTTGTTCCAGATTGGAAGTACAGTTCTGGCTTCGTCACTGCAGACATGATTCAAACCCACCTCCCTTCCCCCAGCAGCGAGACACTCATTCTCATGTGTGGGCCACCACCTATGATTCAGTTTGCCTGTCAGCCCAACCTGGACAAACTCGGCTATTCCAAGAGCAGTGTATTTTCTTACTAACACTGATGGCATCCAATACTTTTTTGTAAGTATGTACTGCATATTTTTCTACAGGAACAACTGGTGTATAACTGCAGTATTTCTCGTGTGTGTTTTTTAACTGCATAATGTAATTTCTGTGGTTTACAACTTCATAATTACCTTTGCATGTTTTAATACTAAAGATGTTGAGAGATCATGTTGAATTGTGCAGAAGTAACTTAGTCTAACCTCCTAAGTTAGTATGAAATGGCAATTCTGCAAAAAAAACTTCAGTGCAATTGCAGAAGTATGACAGAGGTAAAACCACTTGTTTGTTAACATGGGTATAGAATTTGGGAGAGGGCTATGAAACTGGACTAGGATTATTTGACTGTGCTCTATAGGTAATTCATTTAGTGCATCCTGGGGAAGGTACAAAGAACATTTTGTTGGGTGGTTTGGTTTTTTTTTAAATAGTATTTTACGGCGCTTTAGAGGGACTAAGTCTAAGTACGCTATTGAAAAAGTGAACAGAATTTGGGTAACATGCAAATTGCTTATTACTGTAACAGATACTCTCATTAGTGTGAAATTTACTCAGGAGGATTACATAACCTCATGCTTCATACATAACCTTAGCTAAGCAATCACTGCCAACTGCATACAGAAGCTCTGGGCTGCAGGATACAGATGTAAATATCCAGTGACATCATTACATCATTTGAATGTCATCCTCTTAAGTGTAGTGCCTGCTCATTTGGCAGTTTCACAAAGTTCCTTTCTTCAAATGCTAATGAATACATTTACTAAATATTTTTATTCAACTAAAGCAAAGCTAAAGGAGTTTACAAGTTAAAAATTGACATAGGGGGTTTGGCCTTCAGTTACATTTGTAGCAATAATGCAAAGACAGACTCTGGGAATCAGACTGATTCTGTCCCTGATGAGAGATCAACAACATGCAGTTGTGTTAGAGTCATTCCACAGTCAGCAAGAGATAGAGGAACATTCTGAATTTATTCATAACAGTCAAAAAAATAAGCATTTATGCCCATATTATGCTAATTAGGATTTCTTACTATATATATATATAAAAAAATCAGTAATTTTGTAGATTAACTATTCACAGCCAAGTTTGCACAACACACTGAGTTATAAATACATCATCAAAAGAAATCTGAAAATCTATTTGGAATATCCTAGTGATATTAAAGCTGCCTTTGGTTAGAGCAGCTTATCCTATTTGTAGTGCTGTAATAAGTCTGCTTGCTAATTAACCTGACAAAATATTTCAAAGGCCCATAGTACATGCCCTGGTCACTAGTGTTGATTGCATTGCCAGATTATAGATGTACTTGACTGGTATGCTTTTATTAAGTATTTTTAGCATAGACTGACTTCTTGTTCCTTTGGATTTTCCATTATTCCTTCGTTGTTCAGTGACTGAAAAAAAAATTTGCCTTGGTTTTACCATTTTGGACCAAAAAATCGTGTTTAGCTTCTAAAATCTGACCAGACAGTGCAGGGTACCTCATGGAGTGAGGACTAGAATAGGCCACCTGTGAAAGGTGGCCCTGATGGCTCTCAAAGAGCCCTGGCTGCGCACTCTGGACAGTACCTGAGATTTCCCCTTCGTTAGGGAGGGTTGTGGCTGGGACTGACCTGGCCTCAGGCTACATTAATAATGAGAATCAACACCCAGCAGCCAGCAAGGAGAGAGGAATGCAAACCATCCATATACATCTTTTCCTCACAAATGAGCAGTTTTCTTTTCCCTTTCTTGCCATTTCCCTCTTTACTAAGATATCTTGTTAATACCTTATTAATACACGAGAGGCATATGTCAACAGATGTCACGAGTAATTGCTGCTGTAAAGGAAACACATCTACCCTCAAACAGCCCCTCCAGGGAGTACTGAGAGTCCGTATTTCCCTCAGTAGAATAGCAGCAGTTCTGTTTTGTCAGGTGTTTTATTATGGTACTTGCCTGATGCTCTCCCATTTTACACATCACAGAGCAGTAATGTTTGTTTTCTATTGCTAAATATTCTATGAAAATCTATCTGTAGCTGGAATGAAAAGAGAACTGAAAGCGAACAGCAATATTGTTTTACATCACCAGTTCTCATGCAAATGTTACAGAAGTGTTTCTACTGCAATCTCCAGGCCTCAGGGCTGTTTGCAGCCTTATGTTTAATTAGGTGTAACCACAGAAAGCAAACAGGCTTATTACCATGCCTGTTTTCCCAAGAGCATGTACTACATTTCAGACCAACCAGGTACAGGGCTCAGAAAACTTTGAGCCACCGTGACTATTCAGAAGGGTCAGTACTAGCCATTTTAGACAAACTGTCAGTGTGTGGAAGGAGCCCATTCAATAGTTCTAGTCAAAGAACTGTCATTTAAAACCAAACAGTGGATCATGCTGGAAATGCTGTTGCACTTGCCCTACAGAGCGCAGCAAACACCACTCTTAAAGTTACATTTTAATTAGTAAAGTGTTGTGATTGCTCCTTGATTGTGAGTATCTTAGTGCACATGTAAAAACCACACAATAAAAAAACCCAAAACTCACTCTAAATGAAGCACCAGCTTTTGAATCCTTCAGTTTTTCTGGTCATCTCAAAGTTACATTTCCTGCTGCGGTTGTCCAGCATCTTTTTGAGTTAGGTAAAGATTTGTGAACATGACATTTTGATTGTCATCCTCCTGATAAAAGCATGGGCTTGATGGATAGTATTCTCTTACATTTTTCCCATTCTACTCTGCACTTGGAGAAAAAGAGGGCAGGACATGTGCTAATGTAATGGATGAGAGATTAGCATCCTTTTCTGGGAATGAGTCTCTGGCAAGGCTGCAGTAGTAGTTAGTGAGCCATTACCACTGCAGCATCCCTCTGAAATTCTAAGTATTTCTGATTAGTCTACATGGTACTATAGAATATTAATGATTCCTGCATTACAAGATAATTATAAAAAATTACAAAAGATCTTTCATAGAACAATGCATAAACATACCATGTAAAAGATAACTGAATAAAAGGGTAAAACATGTTGCCAGTCTTGGCTTTCCAGACCCTGGCTATGAATGCCACTTCTCTCTGAGTACCTATTTCACACTCTGAAATATGGAAAAGAGGGCAGAGGAGAGTTACCTGTAACGTGCTGCTACACTGACAATGGTAAATGCTATGCAGCAAGTCTCATTGCAGAGAAGAGGTAAAGCTTTTCTGCACCACAGCAGCAAGCTTCTCCCGGCCACCCCTCTGGACAGGCACGAGGTATTCAGTGTTCTTGGTCACGTTGAAACATCATCTCCAGTCTTCAAAGGTAGGTGTTAAAAACCTGCTGTCATTCAGCATTTCATCTTGGCTCAGCATCGTCTGAAAAAAATGCAAGATGCAGATGAGTGAGCATATTGAATTAGAGGCCTATAGTTGGAGAAACCCCACTGTAATGAGATCACACTCACAACAGAGGGGGTTAGAGCCACAGAGAATTAAATGGAATTTCTTGAATGCAGCTTTAAGTAAGCTATTCGCTTGAGAAAATCCTGACAGAGATTTTGTGGGTAGCATGTGATTCAACTATGTTATGTAATTCTTCATTATACCTTTCAGACAGCTTTTTTTTTAAATTAGCTGCTCTGGAGTCAGGAATTAATACAGTGATTTCCATGGACTTTTAGCCCATGTAAATTTTCAAGTCTGTACCTCTTTGCTAGACTTTGCTATGACTGAGGCATTTGATGGTGGTTACTTGTGAAGTCTAAGGGGATGAGTATCTGTCACTGGGTCAAAGAGATAGCAGAGTTCAGGAAAACTTAAAATAGGCCTAAATGAAACTTAATACAGGCCTAAATGAAACTTAATATAGGCTTAAATGAAACCTAATTTCTAGTGCGATTCAAAAGCAGGGTGTTTTTTAGACTGTGAATGCACAACCAGGCTGCAAAGAGGTATTTAACAAGAATGGTGACACAGTTACTCTTAACTACCACCAGCAATGAGTAAAGTTCACTGAATTCTAGCAGAATACACTTGGGACTTTAAAACAAGAGCGAGATTAGTACGTACCGTCAGATGGCTTATGCCTTGAGAAAGAGCCCCTATTTGCATTACTGTTCCTTCTGAATGTTCCATCTGTAAAAGTATTCAGGATCTAGTTCAAATCAGACAGTATAAGCAATTGTATTCACTCTACATGCATCTTTGGGAGGTATCTGTGCCTGGACAAATGACGTTGTGGTACTTGTAAAAGCTCTGATTTCTGCACGTTAACAAAATGCCTGTGGTACTTGTAAAAGCTCTGATTTCTGCACATTAACAAAATGCCATGCTATAAGGAATGTGAAAATGCATTTAACAATAGGAAGAGTGAATCCTAATTAAGAAGGGCTGATTCCACAAAATTTGACCTGCAATTCATACAAGAAAAGAAAAAGCTTAACTGATACTATCAGTGAAGAGTAGTATTTTCCTGACAGCGTTACACTTACACTTCTGGTAGTCGTCTTCCACAGTCCTCCATGATACAGTCCTACCTATTCCTACACAAAAAGGTTACCAGCTCCACAGCATTGAGATTTCAGTGCATACCACATGCTCAGAAGTCATGCTTCATTGAAAAACCATGCTCCTAGAGAAAAATCCAGTTACAAAAGTAATGCTTGAACAACTGCATAGTGTAAGCTGTTGGCTCAAAGCTAAAAAACAAGAGCGAGATTAGTACGTACCGTCAGATGGCTTATGCCTTGAGAAAGAGCCCCTATTTGCATTACTGTTCCTTCTGAATGTTCCATCTGTAAAAGTATTCAGGATCTAGTTCAAATCAGACAGTATAAGCAATTGTATTCACTCTACATGCATCTTTGGGAGGTATCTGTGCCTGGACAAATGACGTTGTGGTACTTGTAAAAGCTCTGATTTCTGCACGTTAACAAAATGCCTCCATGCTATAAGGAATGTGAAAATGCATTTAACAATAGGAAAAGTGAATCCTAATTAAAAAGGATTGATTCCATGAAATTTGACCTGTAATTCATACAAGAAAAGAAAAAGCTTAACTGATACTATCAGTGAAGAGTAGTATTTTCCTGACAGCATTACACTTACACTTCTGGTAGTCGTCTTCCACAGTCCTCCATGATACAGTCCTACCTATTCCTACACAAAAAGGTTACCAGCTCCACAGCATTGAGATTTCAGTGCATACCACATGCTCAGAAGTCATGCTTCATTGAAAAACCATGCTCCTAGAGAAAAATCCAGTTACAAAAGTAATGCTTGAACAACTGCATAGTGTAAGCTGTTGGCTCAAAGCTAATGCATTCACTTGGACTCTGAACTGTGCAAGTGGACATCCTTACTCAATTATAGTCAGGATTTGGTGTACGTTGAAAAAGACAATGATTAGACAATAAACACGAATTAGATGTTAGATGCAGTAAACCATGCAAATGAAAAAACACACTTTCAAAGTTAGTCTTTTCAATTTTGTGACTATTCTCTTATTAGGCTTAAAATGTTTATCTCCCTTAAGGTCACTGGAGATAGAACAGTTTACCCCGGCTGCCTCTGTCTGGCTCTTGTGTGTTGCCAAAGGTCACACAAGCCTCCAGTTTCTCCATTTTTCAGGGTTTACATCCCTTTACACAAGAGCAAAATGGAAAAAAATTTGATGGTTTTTAGTCTTCATTATTTGTCTGTATGATGTCTAGACACAGTTTCATCCACAAGTTCACTACTACATAACAAAAGTGAATTATTTAAGTATTCATTTATTAATAATCTTGTTCATTACTGATGCATTGTTTTCACATATACTGTCTAAGCGTAACTACTCCCCACTGTACATAATGAAAGAAAAAATTCAGTTGGATACTTTGGTTAATGTCTGTTAAAAATATACAATCCAGTTTTACTTTAATATATAACTCGATAGCTTTGTACAAATTAGTACAAATAAATTTATTACATTAAAACCCACCCACAAAGATAATGAAAAAAGTAGTGTGCATACTCAGGTTATGAAAGCTAGAAGTACCAAAGTCTTGTGTTTACTGCAACCTCCACCTTAATTGTCAAAATACATCGATCTTCATAGTGTAAAGGTGTTCTATTCCTGAAAAAGGGCTTGAAGATGGATGAATTTATTATGATGTCGATTAAAAAAAATTACCCTGCCACTCTTAGTATAGAGCTCTTTCCAGTGTCCATAGCCAGTACTTTCTCAATGAGTTCATGCGGATGTAGCAAATGTTTTGTTACATGCCAACATTGGGTTATTTGCAAGCTTTGGAATGCATGGAGAGGGGGAGATGAGAATGGCATCAGTCTGTCTGTCCCACCTGATCCAGTTCCCTCTCAGTGAAGGGACTAAGTCCTTTGTAGCCACCATGGTTTTTCTGAGTACCATTCGCGGCAGCCGGGTTTGTATCCATAGGACAGATGTAGTCTGTTGATTCATCAAACTTCTTTTTTCTTAAGTTTCCAAAATGTGAAAATCCAAGTTTCTTTGGCTAAAATAAGAAGACAACAAGTTTTAAATAAGAAAAATAAGGTTCTCCTTCCAACATTCAAAATCCTCTCATTTATTTATTTACTGCTATATCCTAGTCCTTAAAATATGTAGATTCTGAACTAAAGAAATTTGTTTTCTGATTGGGAGTTACAGTTGACTTTTAAATATATTTTGTATTCCTCCTAATTAAAGACAGAAGAGATTGCATGCTTAGTTCAGAAGCTAATGTAAACATACAAATTAAATGGTTCAGTATCTAAAATTAAGGAAAATGTAACACTTCTCCCACAACTGACCTCTCCCTGCCCATCTTTGTCCCTTTTTTTTTTTTTTTTTTTTTTATAATACAGAGGAGAGGAAGTTTGAAATATCCCCTTTTAGAAAGCAGTACATACTCGAACTTTGGCAGTGGTGGTCAGAGGTGTGTATGCTGTTGACTCCATTATTTCTCTTTTTTCTTGTTGTGCCTCTGGTCCAATTAACACGTTAAAATTGGTTGTCAGGTGGCGTCGCAGCAGGGTCTTTTGAGGTGGAATATTCAGGAGCATTGCTAGTGTATCACCATTGAAGCGAGGTTCAAGAATCTAATAGAAAAATGGCATGTTAGTTATTTTTTATATGGTTAAATATTTGCAGTAGTAAACCATTACAGGACTTAGTAAGAATGAGACATCCCTCTGCAATCTGTCTACATTAGACCTCTTATACTCGCTCACGATATGACACTTGCCAGGGTTTGAATGGGAGATACATGAAAGTAGGCACCACGAAATGCAGAGCAAGATCAGACAAATACCTAATTATATTTATCGTCAAATATTACATTTGCTTAAAGAACAATGAAAGAATGAAGAAATTTGTTTTCAGAATTTTCCGCTCTACTTTAATGCTGTAACTGAGATTATAAAGTCAATACATTTTTTTCCTATTTCCTTTTTGCAAAAATTCTACGGCACTAGAATCACAGTATTTCAGAACTCTGACTTTACTGAGCTGCAAATAGTTCTGAAAATTTTAAATAATTAAAAAAAAAAAAGTCATTCCTGATTGCTGGAAGACTGCTGCAAGTTCAGGACAGTTACTGTGGCTCAGGATTCTATTAAAACCATTCAAAGCAACACTCAGTGATGCCTTATCAAGAAGTTACTTTCCCACAGTATAGTTTGGGGCTTTTTTTTTTTAACGTACTGCTGTTAAACACTTAGCACAGCTCAGCTTTGATTAGAAAAATGTAATTATATTTATCGTCAAATATTACATTTGCTTAAAGAACAATGAAAGAATGAAGAAATTTGTTTTCAGAATTTTCCGCTCTACTTTAATGCTGTAACTGAGATTATAAAGTCAATACATTTTTTTCCTATTTCTTTTTTGCAAAAATTCTACGGCACTAGAATCACAGTATTTCAGAACTCTGACTTTACTGAGCTGCAAATAGTTCTGAAAATTTTAAATAAAAAAAAAAAGTCCTTCCTGATTGCTGGAAGACTGCTGCAAGTTCAGGACAGTTCCTGTGGCTCAGGATTCTATTAGAACCATTCAAAGCAACACTCAGTGATGCCTTATCAAGAAGTTACTTTCCCACAGTATAGTTTGGGGCTTTTTTTTTTTAACGTACTGCTGTTAAACACTTAGCACAGCTCAGCTTTGATTAGAAAAATGTTTTAGCAGTTCTTTTTGTTAGTTTTTCTTTGTAAAATTAAGATGCATGGACCAGGTACAGAGAGGCTTTTTCAAAGGCCTGTTCATGCTGTCATATTGCAGATATATTTGTTCCCCCTGCTTGACAAACACCAGATAAAAGATGTTTTATATTACAGTGTCAGTTTGTATTAGATATGTAGTAAAATGTATGAATTCTTACAATCAGGCCACCGTGCACTCCGCTTCCTCGAAGGTTTGGTGCGTATTCTGCCAGATCCACTGACCTGAGCCATTCCATCACTCTGTGGTTGGACCACTGAACTACTTCAGAAGGAGAAACGTTATTCTGTTAAAGTAACCAGAAAAGAGGATTACAATGTAGCCTGCTTTGTCACTGCATGTTTACGATCTGTATCCTCAGTTAAGATAAAACTACTGTTCCTCGTCTTCCTCAAAGAGCAGTACTTTTTCCCCAATTCCTAGGTATTGTTTCTGTTTAAGGCCTCTTTCAGTCATCCTCTGAGGAGATGGCAGGCATAGTCTAGGACAGATGAAACCCCACATACTGCATGGAGTAGTGTAACAATAGAGACCTACAGGTGCTGGATGTAAAAAAGGGAGCATTCTGAAAAAAAGCACTATCGTGAGTCTTTAATACTAAGAGAATAAACTATGCTGACCAGGTAAGGCAAAAACATTAGTGTCTTAGAGAATTAAAAATTAGGACTGGCAAGAAAAAACTTTCAAATTATTCTCTTGGTGGTTCAAGTACTTAAGGAGTGACTAGATTTTTATTAAGGGTGCGTACCCGTTACGTTCCAGAGCTGGAAGGCAGCGTAACTACTGCTTTAGAAGCAATTCCCCAGCAGCAATGATTGAGATACCATTGTACACTGCTACCTTTCTATCCACTTTGGCTAGAATCAGATAATTTCTGCTTGTTTAAATTATTTATTTAGCATCCTTTTACCTCCTCAACTGGTCTCCTGCGTAGGCAGTGGGGGTTGAAACCGTTGACGTGCAGCACATGAATGGCACATTTAATACTCAGGTGATGCAGCTGACTGGTGACTTTCAGAAAGAGAAGGTCATTCTGTAAAGGAGAGAACTTTTTCAGTGGCATAGAATACATACCCAAACAGGGACTTTGCCCAGGAACAAACATTTTAAGCTTACTATGTATTTTCATAGAAACCACAGTAACTATGGTTTCAGTAAACGAAAAGTTTATATTTTAAAGAATTTTTCTGGGGGGGATGGAAGTCTTAGGGGATTGTGGTGGTGTTTGGTTTTGGGGTTTTTTTAAACATTGCACCAGAGCAAGACCTGGCTAAAAAATGAAGGCGAGGTTGCAGCCTATTAAGTAAAATCCAGGCTCATGGATAATTTTAAAATAGTTAGACTGTTTCTGATCTGGCAAAATCCTGTTGTGGGTAGGGTCAGTGCAGGTAAGGAGCACACACCTAACCTTGGAACAGTGGGGACTGTGCTCCTGTTAACAAAGGCTCCTTACGCAGCACAGACAAGACTGTACTTTTGCTAACAGTTAAATTCAGTTTTTTCATAGCACAGTTAACAAAAAAAATTATCTAATTATTCTAATTATTGAAACCTGGGCAGGGAAACTGTAAGAAAACACAGTGGCTTATGTGTAGTGCTTGGTTTGCTGCTACTGTGGTTGGAGCTGTACAAATTACTGGATTTGCTGCTTATCTTCAGTTTATTGAATATTGCTGCTAATGTGGTGTGAAGAACAAGACACTCCAGCAGCTGCATGTAAAATAGCTCCTTTTACCTTTAAGTATGGTGTGCTACATGATATTGAAAGAAAGTTAGCTATAATATATCCTGTGACTTATTTTATGTACCTTAGGAATAGTAATCATGCACTAAACAACACAATGAGTTACTGCTGGCACTACTTCTGTCTTGCAAAAATTCTTTAACTGCTCATGTGCAAAGGAAAATTAGAAAATTCCTCACTCATTCTGAAGTTAAATTTGGTTAAACTGAGGAAAAAGGACTTGAGCTTACCACAGTTAAGTACTGCAACATTCTCCCGTCAACTCTGGATTCATGAAACTGGTCTTTGTACTGGGGCAAACCGATATCATCGAGCCATCCTGCAGACACAACAACAGGGGTGCACCCAAATCCCAGGGGGTGAGAATGGGATTTGGGCCAGAAGCCTGAAAGCAATTCCTACCAGCTTTGTCCACAACCCCCCTGTGCTATTTTACACACAGTGTGTGTGTGTAGAGCATGTGCCTTCTGCAGCATGATGTAGCCCTTGCTAGACTGAGCCTCCCCCTTTACTGCCCCGCACTCTGAACGACAGAGTTCCCCTTAGAGGATCATACTGTATCCTGTATATTTTGGACGTCAAGAACAACACAAAAATCCTCGTTCTATGGAAAATTTTACTATGTTGAAATTTAGTGCTCTTAAAAAGAGGTTTGGTAACTGCTTAAACAAACACCTCAGGCAGCCCGGCCATAGTCGGGGGTGTGTGTGTGTGTGGGTGTGTGTGTGTAAATTTCAAACAATTCCATGACAGTTCAAAACACTTACGCGTCACCCAGATGTGATCGAGTTGTGCAGACTTCTCATCTTGTTTTGCATTTATTGATTTAATGGCCAAAACTAATTTCTTCCTGTGCAGTGGATGCTTTATTCCCATTTCCTGCAACGATAACCATTAACAAATAGTTTGCCTTGGCTCTGGCTCTTTTCATCTCATTAGATATCTACAAAAATGGATGCTATCTATGTCAGAGAAGTAGAACTGCGACTTTTGGAAGGGGCCTGGTTGTACAGAATCAACATGGATGGTTGCTTGAGAGAGAATGACACATTTTTACCTTTTCCATGTCCTGGGGTGTCGCAGTTAACAGCGTATGGCCTGAAGTCACCCACTGCCGTGCAAAAATGACGTACTGACCGAGACCAAAGTCCTCGAGCCAGTTACAAACTCTCTCAGTGCTCCACTGAGCAAACGGAGCATTGTAGTCACTGAAAAATACAAGACATGTTTGAAAAATCTTAAAGATTTATGATTGTTATCAGAAAGCTCATCATGTGCCAGAGACACACGTATGTGCTTTGTTCTCTGCAATAATAAAAGCCAACAACCATTCTCACAGTACACACCGTGGTACTAGTGTCCCACTAATTTGGGGTCCCGGCCACAACTTGTGAACAGCTTGTGGGAGGGAATTTCCCATTTTTTATTTGAAAAGAGGAAAATCCTCATCACTTTGCAGATAGTCCCACAGGAAATTTTAAGTTTTTTTCCTCTTTAACAAGTTGAAATTTTTGACATTCCAACAAACAGCTCGTGCTGCAGCTGACGGAGTGCAGACAGACGAGCTACTCAGGATATATTTTCTACCAGAGAAATTCGTTCCAGTTGTTGTGGAATTCCACGTGTAATGAAATTTGTTGGGAAAAATGTATTTCCCAAGAGGAGGGCTGGCTGTTCAGCACGCTTAGCCTTCCCACATGATATGCTGTGCAAGGTAAAGAAGGAGCCCTCACCTTTTCTGGCCTTTGGTCTCCTTAGTTCTGGCTAAGCGAGGTCCAGCTGTTGCACGGAGGCCACCTCTTCGAAACTCTGCCAGTCCCAGGTCGTCTGCAGGGAAGTTACCTGACTGAGTTCTTCTTATTCTTTCAAGACAAGAGTGCCAAGATAGGACTATTAGCTTGTGACAGAGAACATTTGTTTCATGTGGAAACTCTAGTGACAACTAGAAGCTGTAATTATCTTCCTGTAAACCATAAATATCTAATTCAAGCGGTAGCTGAAGAAGTTCCAGGCAAACACTGTCTAGACCCAACTCATGGGGAAAAAACCCAAAAGCAGCTCTGCAGGGCAGCCATAACCCTTCACCCCAATCAATAATCCACGCTGGAGGCCAGACTCATAAATGTCTGCTGGCCTGAAGCAGATAAAGCAAACAGTAAAACTCAGTCCCCCTGCTCTTTGTTTCTTCCGTTTTCTCTCAGTTTTTATCTGATGGCTCTGTAATGAACAACTTACTATCATTTAATTTTTCGTAGCTAATGAAACTGTTGGCATTCTAAATTACCAGCACTGTAAGATGACAGCACAGCGTCTTATTTCTTCAACAGCATGACACTATGAAGACTACGCCCACCCGTTTTTCTACGCCCACGTGTACACAGAGACATACCCCTGCAATCACATCACACTGCTGCTTTCTCTCCTTTTCCTGAATTTTACTCTTCTTGCTGCAGATAGTGTAGCTTTTGCTGAGAAATGAATTCATTTTCAGCCAAAATACTTTGACAGGCAACTAAAAAGAAAAAAAAATATCTTACTTTCCCCAGATTTTCTTGATCCCTTTTGGACTCTTTCTGCTTTCTGGAGACAGTGGAGATTGTGGACCTGAATCCGTTCCCGAAGAAACTGGTGAAAGGTCATCCGAGACTACTGTACCATCCACATTCTCTGTTTCTCCTGGGTTAAGAACAGTAATATAGTCACATTTTATACTAATTATTAATGAAGTTGTTATATTGGAGACTAATGGTTAAATGCAGAACATAATGAAAAAAAAAGAAGACGAAAAAAAAATATCTTACTTTCCCCAGATTTTCTTGATCCCTTTTGGACTCTTTCTGCTTTCTGGAGACAGTGGAGATTGTGGACCTGAATCCGTTCCCGAAGAAACTGGTGAAAGGTCATCTGAGACTACTGTACCATCCACATTCTCTGTTTCTCCTGGGTTAAGAACAGTAATATAGTCACATTTTATACTAATTATTAATGAAGTTGTTATATTGGAGACTAATGGTTAAATGCAGAACATAATAAAAAAAAATCCATAGAATTGTTCTTGTATAAAAAACCCCATGCTCGGGAGGTGAAAAAATAGTAGCTGAACATTTGATACAGAAAATAATAAAACATTGGCTAAAACAGTATTGTTATTTCAGTAATTTGTGCATTATTTGAATTAATTCAAGGTCATCAGACTGAAGCAGACTCTTCAGAATCTTGCTTTGCCTATTCTTAGTACCAGAACTACTCCATCAAAATCAGTGGAGACTAATGGTTAAATGCAGAACATAATAAAAAAAAATCCATAGAATTGTTCTTGTATAAAAAACCCCATGCTCGGGAGGTGAAAAAATAGTAGCTGAACATTTGATACAGAAAATAATAAAACATTGGCTAAAACAGTATTGTTATTTCAGTAATTTGTGCATTATTTGAATTAATTCAAGGTCATCAGACTGAAGCAGACTCTTCAGAATCTTGCTTTGCCTATTCTTAGTACCAGAACTACTCCATCAAAATCAGTGGCAATTTTTCTGTCGACTTCAGTGAAACCAGAATAAAACAAGGAATAAATATCTGTAAAAAAATCCCATCCAAATGCCGTACAGCAAACCCAGTTACTTCACGTCAGTACTGCACTTCAGGAATTCAATCTGGATGGCCCATTAATATTTCACAGAGAAGAGGAAAAGAGGGAAAAAGGAAAGGGAAAAATTAAGCAGCAAAATTCATGTTAAAGTTGCGTCCGGTTTGGATACAGTACCTAGCACGGGTGCACTGACACTCCTGACGCGATCTTCAGTCATCCCCAGAAGCAGAAAGCCAGATGAAGAAGCAAAGAAGATATAAAACACCAGCAAAATAAAGTTACAGAAGAGCAAAGTAGTAAGCTAAGCATTAAAAGCAGAAACTAAAAGAAAAGAAGCAGTTATGGTTGACATGAAAGTCAAGCCCCAAGAATTCTGTATGGTTCATCTTAAAAAGATAGGGATGATCATTTAGCTGTTTGTTTGTTTTTCCAAACTATTCTTAGACAATTTTGACACATTAAGTGTATACTACAGGGCTCTCTGAAGCCTGCAGAATATCTGAAATGAAGCAATGTCTAAGATTACATCAAATTCCTCTGAAATACAGAATTGGAGGTGTGATGAGTTTACTGCACATGCAAGAAACAAACCAACCTGCATTAAAAATTCTGTTAATTTAGTCTATTTATTGAAGCAGCTTTTAGGACTGTGAGGGCCTTAAAAAAATTTTAGAACACCAAACAAAAAAATGCCATCACAACTTTTAAAGTGTAGGAACACTTTAAAATCAGACAGAACGCTCTTGAGCTGAGCTCCCAAGCTCTTCAGTCCTTGGCAAATACGTGGTTCTGTGCCTCACTGTAATACTTTTTGTCAAATCCAAGCTTAGGATGTCACAGATAAGAAATTATTACAGGCTTCCACACATGGCTATGGTTATGGAATAACAATATACTTGTATTTTCAAAATCCATCATGTTTTCCTGCACCTAGCAAGTGAATTTTCACTTGTGGGTCCCCACATGCTACAGCCACCAACTGTGCTAATACTAGGATTTTTGCCTGAAATGTGCATGTTAGTGTAGTTAATTGTAAGCTTTCACACACTAAAATGCAGTGGGATGGCAAGGGATGGGTTGGTTGGTTTGTTTTACTACACCAATCTAGTGTACATTTTTATAAAGTACTGATGATGTACTTGGCTGTGCATTTCTGTTTGCTTGCTTGTTTTTTGAAAAACCAGATCAGCTCAGGGGAGCACTGGAAGCATGTCTGGAAAAAATACTGCTTGTTCATATTGTCAGTATGTCTGTGTCTCTGAAATTGCCAGTTTTTAGCTACAGATTTCAGAATGCTCTCCCCTCAGTCTTCAAAACAGTGTCTCTTCATTACTTATTCTGCCAGCAAATTATATCAGAGTGCAACAGACAAGAACACTAACTTCAAACCATCCTCTACTCTCCAGTGAGCTAACGTGGAATATTTTTGGTACACTGTTAAAAAAGAAGTAGAACTTTCCCAAACTGAATCATGTGACATCATAGTCAATACACCAGGTGATGTCCCAACCCCTCAGACAGTTGCACGGATACATACTTAGGCCCAGGATGCTGCTGTCCTCGTCGGTGGTTCCACTGCCATCTGGTGAATTACATGTTCCCTGCTCTCCATTCTGCAAGGGTCGGGGCAGCTTCCCTGGCAAGGTTTGATATTTGCTGCCTTTCACAACTGGCTTACTCTGGTTTGTTGTTTTTTTTTTAAAGAGGGAAAAAGAAAATAAATAATCAAATCACTCATAGCGTTTGCAATGCAGTGCACAATATTTTCAATATTGAGAAAAAGTATTTGAAGCTCAGAGTTCCCAATGACACCACCCCCTCCGTGTTCCTTCTTACATATAATTCAGTTTAAATCCATAGTCAGCTGACAAAGTTTTCTAGCTAAGACACAGCCTTCTCTTCCCTTATCAGCCCCTCCCACTTCAGCCAGACTGTAGTACATTAAAATGTAATATATGTTGAATATTACCTGGTTTTGTCATAAGAATTTTTCTAGCTGTCTCCCTTTCCTCTAGGACATGGGCACTATATAATAATTTAGTCCTTCCAAGGTCAACTTTGATAGTGCCAGAAATGCTATTAGTTACTTCTCACCCCATTCGTTGCCCTGTCAATTTGTTCCCCTATTTTTCACCAGACTGTCTGTGTTTCTGCCTCACAATTGTATCTCAATGGAGTTTAAGCCAAAAGTATTTCTGTAACTCAAATTTTGTCAAATGTATTTGATCCATCACCATTAATAACAGTAAAAGAATCAGCAATGGAGTTAGGGTACAGAAATTTAGCTTCTGTAAGAATTAAGATCTATTTGTATAGGTAATGTTACAAATGCAAGCTACGTAGGCTTTGCTAAAAAAGGGGTCTCTCTTAATTTTCCCTGCGTTCAATTTTTCAGTGATCAACTGCCTGGGGATCTTGCTCCTTGTAAAAGGGTAGATAAGAACTTGCATATAAATCGGATAGTTTTGAGCCTAAAAAGATACTTTTCCAGCAAAAGTATGTGTTTCACAGAGGTACTTCTCTGCAGTTTTGTAAACAGCATGTTGAGACTTCTTCAATACTGAACCCAAATGAGAAGATGAATGAGCCGTTACTCTCGACAAAAATGTGTATCCCCAACTGTCAAAACTATAGGAATAGAAGGGCTTTTCCAGAGAAGTGATGAACCTGCAACTCCAATTGATGTTAGCGAGAGCAGTGCACATTCAGTGTGTGTTTTGGAATAAACTCATACTGGTGAATGCTTCAGTACCAGAAATGAGGTTATATAAGAAAATTTTGTACTGAAAATACACAAAACATTTAGTATGCTCCTATGTAGCAACCCAATTTGAACAAAATTGTTTTAAAACATTTAAAACATTGTCTGTGATAGGAGGATCATGAAATATTTGATGAGATGGCCACTGGTTTATCTATTCTTATTTCAAGGCCTAGAGAGATTACATTAGCACTGTATTTTCTGAATTTGACTGACTTCAGCTTCTTACCTCACATAAAAGGGCTTATATGTAAAGGGCTTATATGTAAAAAAAACATTCCCTCTCAAATCCTTACCCTCGTTCTTGAACTATGCAAACATTTTAAAAATCAAATGAATATAAAACGAAAACACAGCCATACTACCACAGCACATCACAACAGATAAAAGGTTAAGAGAGTTGACAGTTAATATACCTCTTGTTCTACAACAGGTTGTACTGGTTTTCCATCTACACACTACGGAGTTGCAGGGAGGGTAATTTCAAAGTTTTATGGGAAAAAAAAGCAACAGACAAATGTTAGTATTAACATACGTACACACAACATCAATTGTAATCTTACTACTACAGTGGTGCTACTTAATGCATTGACAATGTATCACAAGATCTGTTATCTCTTCATTTCATTTCAATAAAGTATTTAATACTAAATGTTTGTGTTCAAATCACTCTACAAATTTCAGGCCCTCTTTAGGTTCTGTTGTCATCAAAGGAATGTTTCTATTTTCAGGCTTCTGGGGGGGTCCCTTTAGACTTACTCTAAGCTGGGAGTTTACAGCTAAAAGTTAAACAGTATGAAAATCACTGACTTAAAAAAAGAACAGACAAAATATTGTGTATCCAGCTGAAACCATAAAGAGCTGTGATAGAAATGAAGTGATAAATATACCAGCAAGGCTCAGGCAGAGACACTAGTGTGTTTTGTTTCACTATGACTATTGCTGGATGTACTTGGAATTCGAGTTTTGTGCACAGTAGGACAGTTCCAGTAAACAGCGCGGCTGGTGCAGGTTCTCTTGGACTTAATGCAGGCAGCAAAGTCTTGTCATGCTGAGTCAGCAAAACACGTTTTCCTGGCCTTAGTTTTGGTTCTAACTAATTCATATTTAGTAGGGAGGCCTCATTTATTTCCCTAAGAAGCCTCATGCCTGAATCAGGGGACACAATTCGTGCAGGTTCTCTTGGACTTAATGCAGGCAGCAAAGTCTTGTCATGCTGAGTCAGCAAAACACGTTTTCCTGGCCTTAGTTTTGGTTCTAACTAATTCATATTTAGTAGGGAGGCCTCATTTATTTCCCTAAGAAGCCTCATGCCTGAATCAGGGGACACAATTTAGATGCCTTTCTGCAGAGGGGTCTGGCCTGCTACAATTCTCTCACACCCTTGGTAGTTTCTTGTTCCTGTGTGGACTCTGAGCTAACACACAGAGCAGATTTACAGCCTAAAGGTGTAGGGACAGCCTTATCACATCGTATCACACAGACAAATTACGTTTTTGAATTTAAGACAGGAAAATAAAAGTTATGAAAAGAAAACAAATCTTCATAAATTCCACATGGAATGAAATGTTAGTTCTGAACTGATACCGCAATTAAGTGAGAACAACGCAAGTTTCAAACATTCTATTTAGTCACCGTCATCTTCAGAGACTTAAGAAAAAGTTAAGAAAATTTGAAGAACTGGAACCATCCTATTCCTAGTATGTGTTTTAAATCATAATACTGGATGTGCATAATCTAATACTAAGCCAAATTTGAGCATAGAAAGTGTCAGTAACAGTCTCACAAAACGTAATTACAAGTGGCAGAAAAATTTCAGTGTCCATAATGATAAAACAAGCCACTGGGCCATAACGTAATGAGACTTTGTAAATTGGAAAGTCTTCACTCTGGAATAAAATAAAGTCTTTAAATTAGTAACACTGCCCCTGCTGTTTTAACTAAGGCAGCATCCCTACCATCACCAGGCACGCTGTTTGTACCAGAAATCTAAGTTAGGGAGCAACACTCATATTTACAGGCCAACACTCAAAAAGGAATCACCAGCCCCACTATTTAATTACTATTTAATTACTTTCAGGATTTGCTGCCTTAACATTTTTAGTGATTTGCAAGTCAGAATTGTTTTCAAAACACATACCTATAAACAAAATAATAGTGCAGTTCAACAAAATGACCCCTCATTAACATTATTCATTCTATTTCTTAAATATTTTTGTTCTCTTTCACCTGAAAAGCTGAATTTGAGGATGTATACATATGGGTGTGTCAACTAGTTTGTTTATTCTACGCTTGGCAATAGTATAGAAAAAGAACCTGAACTCTTTGATCATCAGGGCTTTTTTCCCCAGACAGAATGTTAGTGGTGGTTAGGGTACTATATGTGAAAAAAAAGATTATTTATACTTGAACTTTACCTTTGATTCATGATATTAAACGCCAGAAATTGTGATAACAAATAAACCAACCTTTTCTAGGGCTTCACTCTGCAAGTCTTCTAAACTACTCGACTTTTTTTTCTGTGGTACCCTGAAAATAATAACAGACAAGAAAGCAAATTTTAATACACCATAGTATGTTTGGCTGTGCTGCAACAGTATCCTATGACAGCTGTACGGACCACATAATATCTGCATATAACATAATTCAGAATTAGAAGATTAATTTCTTTTGTTATATTTTTAACATTAAACTCGTAACATTGGGAAGAGCAAGTGATGAATTCAGAACCAGCAACAAGACATCCTTTGGTTACCAGTGAAAGGCAAGAAGGTGCAATGTGCTGTTTGAAACCTTCTATCTATAGATAACTTTTTAGAAACAAGGAAAAGTAGACAGTAGTAACTCTCTGTAAACAATGTGCAACATTAAGGGCTTTCAAAAAGATTTTTTTAAATGGAAAAAGGCAGAATTATTAAAATAAAGTTGTGGCTATATGTTTTACATTTCAATTGAAGCTACTCATTCTTACCTATTTGCAATATCCAAAGATTCTTCTTGTGGAGAGGTTGAATTACTTGAAGATACTGGAATGCTTCCACTTTAAATGGGAATAAAATACACTGTTATAAGTACTACAGTACATATATCTTCTGATGTATAAAAGTGCAAATTTATTCCTCTAATTTAAACCTTATACAACTACGTACTGCAAACTCCCGTGGCAAACACTGCGCTCACGACTACCCAAAAGTTCTTGCAAAGCCCAGGCAAGACAATGCTAACAGTTAAACAGATTAAATAATAAAGACTTAGGGCAATCCACATGAAAAACAACAAACAAAGGTCTTGCCTGATTTCCATAGCTTTGTGTGGCACTGGAGAGAGCACAGCTGGTGACAATTCTCCTGAAGAGGCCTAGGTAAAACAGAAAAAAGTTTCAAGCCCGTAACTCTAGTGTCTGATTTTGAATCTAAAGTGCCCAGACCAGGAGGCACAAAAATTCAGCCAGGGCCAAATCCTCATCTACATTACTTTAGCTACTCCAGAGAAACCAATACTACAAACAAATCATATAATACAGCAGAACTTGCTTCTAAAACATCTTTAATAAGTACCTCTGGTTTAAATATTTCTCCTTGAGGATTATTCAGAAGATTCCATTTCCTTAAAGTTGTCTCAAGTTCCTCTTCACTGCCGCCAGAGATGGAAGAGCCTGCAAGCATTAAAGATTAGAAGTAGAAAGGGAGAGAAACAGGCCCAAACCCCCCCCATTTAGGACCGTATCAGACAGTGTAATACTTCAGTCTCTAAATTCCCCTTCAGCCTTCACCTGATGCATGCAGTTTACCAGCTCCCCACCCCTCCTTTGGGCTCTGACTTAGAAGCAGCTGATCTATAGCACTCTTAGCTCTCTAAGAGCAACAGATTCACCATTTCTAGTTCTATGCTGTGCTCCATTGTGAAGCAACTGAGCTGCTTTACAGGCAGGTTCTCAACAACCCTTAAGTCATAGTTTGACCTTCTGAGGCAAGTTCAAGTTGGTACCATTTTCTTACTCTATCACTTTATAGGTAGTATCCATGCTTGATGGAGAAATTCAGATTGACCTTTAAGCTCATTAGTAATTCTTAATTTATGTGATAGAGGTGCAGCAGCTCTAGGCAGTTACGAAAAACCACCAAATCTTATGGTTAAGCCTCGGCACTTTTGAAGAGACATCACTTGAAAACTCATTGGACATGAGCTTTGGTTATCAGCCGTTCATTATTGAGCCGTTCAGCCTCCACCACAGACCTGACACTGACCATTGGCCCTTCAGGATCTGAAATGAATCTTATGCTGCGGTTCCATACACACCCCTGCAGTGAGCAGAAACTCCTAAAACCAAGAGCTACATATAGTCAAGTTCAGGCCAGCTCCTTTATGTTTTACCCAACTGTCAGTGGCTGCCCTTTCAAGCAGCTGCCCTACTTTAATCCAAAACAGATTTTGGTTTTTAAATGTATGTGCTACCTACAGTGAAGAGTCAGTCATCTTTTGTCAACGTGTTTTGTAGCTTGCCTTAACCCAAAATTAGAAATGTTTACAATATATTGTGTTTTTCTCAAGTAACTATTTGAAACGGTTATCAGAGACAGAAGATTGGATCTGAAATGAATCTTATGCTGCGGTTCCATACACACCCCTGCAGTGAGCAGAAACTCCTAAAACCAAGAGCTACATATAGTCAAGTTCAGGCCAGCTCCTTTATGTTTTACCCAACTGTCAGTGGCTGCCCTTTCAAGCAGCTGCCCTACTTTAATCCAAAACAGATTTTGGTTTTTAAATGTATGTGCTACCTACAGTGAAGAGTCAGTCATCTTTTGTCAATGTGTTTTGTAGCTTGCCTTAACCCAAAATTAGAAATGTTTACAATATATTGTGTTTTTCTCAAGTAACTATTTGAAACAGAGACTCAACCCATTGATTCTACCAAAAGCTTTTAAGCAGGAATTACACTTCAAAGGGAACCTTTAAAATCCACCTCTAGAAATAAAAAAAATAAATAAGCAGCAAGATATTTCTTGGCAACCTAAACATGAGACTCCCACAAACAGACATGAGGTAACAAGCTCATAAGGCTTTGATAATCTTGTAGCCATCACAGGACGCATCTCAGCATGGACAGTCTCAGTATACGCTCTAGTTCTCCCCCAGGTTTTGGGTTTGTTTATTATGCTGAGCATCACTGGTGGGTTTTTTTATTTACACTGAACTGAAGTGTAAATTTACACTGTACCGAAGTACTGGCATACATTAGCACCATCAACTCCCTGCAGTACCAACTCAATAATCCAGAGCATCACAGCGTGCTCCTTGTTCATGCTCACAAGTGTCCTCCAAAAGCCAAGTCCCACAGGGACATGGTGCATCCAAATATGGACCAAGGATGTGGCCAAGGAGAGCGGAGCTGTGGGGGCACCTACTGTTGAGAGCACCCACTCTCAGGGTACCAGCAATTTAGCCATCTTGGGAGCTAACACCAAATATGTCTCCAAAAACTACAATCACACCTTTAGATTTCATTACAGAACAGTTTCAAGTAAGAGAACTTTTTTTTTAATTTTTGAAATGAAGGTTCAGAGAGAGATTTACCTGACTCTTGTTCGCTATTCTTGTGTGTTAAATACAAGTTTCCGTTCTGCCGTACAAGACCTGAAAATACCGTGTTTGTTAATGTGATGATGTTAGTTGAACAAAACTGTCCTTTCAGAAGTTCAGGTTTCCCAGACTATAGTTAGAACTGAAAACTAAGGTGGCAAGTTAAAATGAGATTCTCCTAAAACCCACTCCATTTCCTGCAGCATCACTGATAAATGGGACGAAGATTTTTTCCCCAGATTTTGAAGTTAAATATAGAATGCTGTGTGCACCAAAGCAACCATGGCTTTTCAGTTGTTTCCTCCAAACAAGAACTTGCCTAGTCAGCTGTCAGGGTTTTTCCTAGTGGAAGGGAAGGGCAACAGAATTTATTATGTTCACTGCAACTCCTTTTAGCAAAAAAGAAAAAAAAATCCTCCTCAGAATATCAAATTGCACCTGAGATGAGCTTCCCTTTCATGAATTCTGTATAAAAATCATGACATAAAAAGAAAATGTTATGTCATCAACACTAGCTGGCTGGCTGGCAGCTGATCACTGCTATTCCCAAATTGAACTGTGGTGTAGGAAAGCTGAATATGGAATGTACTTATTTAATTAATGTTCATCATCCACTAAGGTCTCCCGATATCATTTTACACCGTGAACACCAGTTACTCATAGCATAATAGTCACAGGGAACACCATACAAACACCACCTATCTGTATACTTTATTCACCTCCTACAGATGAATTAATTTAAATCAAACTGAATGTTATTTTCATTTTGGATAATAGATTCTTGAGAGGGATAGAATGTGATTTAGTAAGAAAACTGTAAGCTCATGCCTTTAGCTAATCTGAATGAACTCTCCTAGTTGCCTCTGTGTCGACAAATTTGATGTCTGCACGAGTCTCCTGCTGTTTGCTCCCTCCTTTTCACCCTTCTTGCTATACTTCCCTTTGGCCTGGCCTCTACAGCCCACGTACAATGGAGGGGATGGCACCAGCAGCAGTGAAGAAGGAAGTATGATGCTTTGGCCATGAAGGATGTGTGTCATAGGCATGTCTCTTCCTGCACTGTGGAAGAGACTTACAGAGTCCCATCAGCAAGGAGGAACTGGACTGCATGAAGATGCTAATAAAACCATGGTCCCTGCTGTCCACCCAGCCACGGCTACATGGACATAGGAGTTCTGCAGCCAAAGCTCCTGCCCCATTGCCGGGTACGGCAAAGTGGTTTAAGGAAAGCAGTTGTGGACTTCGGATTGCCTTGGCGTATAAAGGGGTAAACTGCAGTGCTGCAGACCCAGCTGATGAGCAGTTCACCAACCTGCACCACAGGGCAGTAATCTCATCAGTCATCCTTCCTCATCTATCAGAATTCTTAATGACACCATCTAAAACAACGTACAGCACCAAAACTAGGCCCCAAGGAGGGATTTACTATTAACTGATGTAGAAGAAATTTTAGGTTATGACTTACGGAGTCAAGCATCAGATTCAGTCACAGAAGTCTTGCTGAATAGTAATGTAATTGACTCTCCACACAGATTTGACCCTATTTTTTGTACTGCCTACAGCCCAGGAAACAAAAACACAAACTACAGGCAATAACACACAAGCCTTGTAAAGACATACAGGGGCTCGCTCTCTATCTGAAAGAGTTTATACTTACTCTCACAGCACTCCAACATGATACAAATATATGCATAATGAAATATATATTACTATACACATATATTTAAAAGGTCAAAAAATAGCAGTTGTAGTGCATGCAGTTTTTAAAGGACCTGATATCAGGAAATTATTCTCAAGACATTTTACCGTGAGCTGCAATCATTATCTCTTTGACTCTCCTGTACTGGCTGAGCAATAGTGTTAGCTCCTCTATTCGACGGTCCTGTGAAAAGCATTAAATGAAATGATATTTTAAATTCTACATTTTAAACCTGTGGAAACAGTGTATTACACATTCATTTCTGTGACTTTGCCCTGGTCTTTTTCCAGAAGAAAAGGATCAGGTACTACTCACGTACCTTGCAAAGAACATTCACAGAATCCTTGACTTTTATTTGCCATCATACTTAATATCTGCTGGACAGTGTAAAATTATGGATAAAAGGAAATGAGAAGAGTTTGACATTACTAGTAAATTAGTGATTTAGAGAAGCATAATTTGGAAAGAATCTGCTTTCACTTCTAAGAGTTACGAGAATATTCTGCTGTTGAACCTCAATTGCCTGAAGTGGGCAGTGTTTGTTTTCTGTTAGCTTGGTACCTGTAATCATAAAGTAAATCATGTTTATGTTTTGTCTAGTTTAACAATCCAGTCATGTTCTTTAATCCTCTCTTGTAGGATATGTTCTGCATTCCCACATCTACACTGACTCCACTTTTGAACACACCTTTTTGAATTTAGGCAGTCAAACCTGTACAGAACCAAAGAAATGTGGTCTCATGAATGTCTCAAGCATCATCCCACTCCACACTTTCTCCAACGCCTAACGCTTTCTTATGCTGTACAGACTCAGGGAGTGCACTTGCCTTTTGCACAGACACAGCATAGCAATGGTTAGTAATAATAAGTTATTGGATCTGTCTTTTCTCTCATTTCTATAGATGATATTGTGTTCCTGATGATAATAAATTCTGGAGATCTGTCACTAAGAGTGCAGTGTGGCAATCTGGAGTCTTACAGTTTGTTCTGTTTCTTTGACCCTGGTTCTAAACCATTCCTGTGCAATGATCTTGCCCAACTCTGTGACTACAGAGCACTGAATACAAAGCCAAGCAAGTAATAAAGAACTAGTTTTCACAAGCAGGTGTCAAGGAAGTCACAGAAGCAGAGAAGGGGGCACTAGAAAAAAAAACAAGCACAAGCAATAAACAAACTTCCAGAGAGGTTGGCAAGTATTTAAGTGATTAGCTGATACTGAGCTGCTGCACGGACACAGTGAGGTCAGTGTCAGAGGTATTTCAATTAAAATCTGCTCCAGTACATATATGCTACATTACAGTCACAGCAGGCACCAACGGAGCTGTAGGAGTAACTGCACGTACCCCAGACTTTTACCACATTAAAGACCGGTAGATGCTGCTGATCCCTCTCTCACACCTCAGCAAGTTTACACAGGGCAAGAGAGGTCCAGTTACCCCAACTGTGGATAGAAGCCATAGGTTCTTCTTCATAGCAAAGAACTGCCACTAACATACCCAGTTTTTTGAAAAAGAAATATGAGCACCACTTTTCTGTCCTAATTGACACAAGGAATATCTAGAGTTATCCCAAAAGCTATTTAAAGCTATTTTTCCTCAGAAGAACATTTTATTTTGTGATACTATTGAAGGTAACAGCTCTACATTAAACATGTAAGAAGCTATGGGTCAACCATCAGTCCACTAGTTTAAAGACTACAGTTTCCAAGAAAATAACTCTCCTTTCCCTGTGAGTGTATCCAGATATCAGGACATAAGCAACAATATTTTGTGTTCCATTCAAATGCAAAAATCTTATGTGGACTTGGAATAACTTTGGCAAGAGATAATACCATATCTTTTATTTTCCAGATCTAATTTTGGCTTTTCAAGTTTTTAAAAGAACGAAAGGTTGTTATGAGGCACGTTAATGTTCTTCAGAATTAACATTGTCCTGTCCAGGTTCCCCACGTACCAAAGGAAGTTTTTAGGGATGTATCTTATTGTCTATTTGATTGTACATGAGTGTGTCACCATAAAGTAAAATCCTGTAGCCTGGTTTATTATCCCAAAACAAGAATTAGTATTTCCTCCAGAATTAATCCCCCTCCTCCCCACTCTCCCTCCAAAAATAAGGAACAATTTGTGTAGTAAGTCAATGGCATCTGACAGTGCAGATTCAGCATCCTCCAAGACTGAGCCCAACACCCTGCACTTGAACTGTCCAACTGACAAGCAAAGAACATACAGGTGATAAAAGACAAAAACAATATTTACCATTTAAATAGGTTTAATTTCTGTACTCCTCTCCCTTAGTACTCTTCTTATTTTTATTTTTCTCACCCTTGTCTCTTTAAATTCTAGTCTCTTTCTCCCAGAATACGAGCCCAATTCAAAAGCCACTTTATTTTAATATCACTATCTAAACTTTGGATAACTTCAGATTAGTTTGGAAGATGAAGAGCTGCCAGAGATGACTAAACCTTAGTGATCTTTTCAATAGCAGAAAACAGGAGATTCTGCTCATTACAGCCTTGGCTTTCTATTCCCCTCTGGAATTTAATGAGCCTCCCAAGTTCTGCAGCCAGGTTAGCAAGGTCAGTCACACTTTCTATTTAAAAATCAATGTTCTGTCACAATCTCATAGGATAATTCAAAAATCAGGGCAATATCACACTTACAGAAAGCGAGTCATTCAGATCATCACAGAGAACCAAAACCATCATTTCATTCTTATTATGTAGAACAAGGATTATTTTCTTACCTTTTCTTCATTTGCAGCCAATAATGATTCCATTCCTATCTTCAACCGTTGAACTTCTTGATCTAGAAATATTTTTAAAATGTTATAAGGAAAATACACTTGCTATATTTAGTATAAACAATATATGTTTTGTGATACTCTCCTTGTGTTCTTATGAGTAAGCAAAACCATGTCAGTGGCATGGCAAATGCACTGTTAAATGACATTTAACTTCGAGGTTTTCAAAAGCTGAACTATTAAAAGCCTAGCACAACACAAGCATGCTGGTTTTGCTTACAAAAGGCTACATAATATTATTTTAGACTCTAAAATTCAAGTAATAAATTTTTTTTTTTTAAGTTTATTTTGCAAAAGATGAGTGTGTTTCCTGTTATATACATTTAAGGAAATAATTTTAAGTATGATTGAAAATTAATTATATTCCATCTGGGAAAAATATTCCCCAGTTTATGAGAAGCAGCTCAGGGATATTCATGAAATTTGGAAATGAAAAAGAACAAAAACTAGTTTGATATGTGAAAACGTGTAATTTTTTTTTTCTTCTTTAGAACATTTCAGACTGAGTTAAAATCTGCATCAAGAGGTAATCCAGAATTGCTTCACATACAATTTAGTGTTAAAAGATAGAATTTATTCAGGAATATATTAATCAAAATAAATTAAAACACACACTCTGAAAATTTATGAGGTTGTTCATCACATTATCCTTTTTTGAACCAAATCTTTCATTTCTTCTTTATACACTATTCCTAGCAAGCCCTCCAGTACCAGCCTATAATAACTTAAGTCTAGATGATGGAGACAGAACCTGAAATAGTTTATCTATCTGCTGTAAATGCCACTCAAGGAATTCATGCTATGACATTAAAACAGACCCGCTTGTTTCACAAAAGACTATAAATACCAGATGTGGTCGGCATGAAGTGAGAGAGAAGAAAGAAAATCAAGACTGTTAAAGAGCATCTTAAAAAAAAAAAGTTTTACAACAAAATGTTGAACATACGATGTCATACCCAGACTACTGGCAAAAAATATAATAGGTTTTCTTGTAGTGATTCTAAAAAATACACACCTTGTAATGATTAAGTTTTAACACATGTAAATGAACTTTGCAACATTTCTCTTGCAAAAGAGAACACTTAGTAACACCAGACATGCACAGACACAGCCAAATCAAAAACTAAAGCCAGCAGGCAGTGGGCAAGCAACTGGAAGATTTTTTAAAAGCCATTAAAAATCACAGTCCTACTAATTTCTTTTTATTAATATTAGGCTTCAAAAAGAAGTGGTGTCAAGGTATTCTTAAGCACATTAAAGCAAGCTTTACTTATAATATTTATAACATCATCAAGTATGGAAACATTTTTATTCAGACTTTTATTTTAATTTAGTGCACTGATTAAAAAAAAAAGAGACTGAAATCCTTCCCCTCCAAGGAAGGAGGCTTTCAATTAAAGCCATCTTTCCAGATACTATATGGATTTTACATATACATAAATAAAAATAGGTAAAGGTTAAGTTTTGGCTCTGTTAACCTTGACAATATCCTTTTGAAGTCCAACTGTCTGATTTGTGAACCTCTGATTTATTTTTTTTTCTGAAGTGAAATCTTACTAAACAGGGCAATTAGCTGTCTGCTTGCTGCAAGCAATGAAAGCAATGTCCCATGTATATTACAATTACACAGCCAAATCTAAACAAACATTGAATTATTCCTGCAGAATGCACTTGAGTTATAATTTGTGTGAAAGGAACAGTGAGATAAAGCCAAAAGTGAATTGCAAGGCTTACGTTTTTCTTTTAGCCTTCTCCTATAAACTTCCTCTACGATGGTAAAAGGTGAGAGTCAAATAAAGTATGTAGAAAAAGCACATATTAGATAAATTTTGCAATTTAATTAGAATATGCATTCTAGCATACTACAAGTACATTGACATTATTTTTCAACTTTTTTTGAGAAGACTGCCTAAAAATCTGATAAATAAGTAAGATTTTTGCAGAAGAATTACTACTGCTGCATACTGGTTCCATTCAAATATAGTCTAAGTGGTTCACTTAAATATAGCCTAAAGAATCTGTACAGGGTTTGATCTTCTCCCACTGGAATCAAGGACAGTTTCACCCATCTTCAGCATGAACAGGAACAGACACACTACTAGAAGTTGAAAGTTGTTGAGGTCTAGCTTTCCCTTAAAATATGAGAAATTATTGGGGAATCTCATAGAAAATACAACACTCTATTAGTAGAAGAGTTCCTCTACAAAACACTGCAGTTAGACTAAGTTTTTTTCTAGTTAGACATGCAGTTCTCTACATGCAGAAGCTCTGTGGCTGAGTGAAATCAGCACCAAGTATATGTTAAGTCACTCATCTGGAATAAACAACAGTCAAAATGCAGAATCTTCTAGACAAGAAACATTGGCATTAATTCCTGTCAGGAGATTCTTGGTAAGCCCCAAGAAAGAGGTAGCATGGCACCTGAAGAGTCACATCTCAACCAGGGCACTCTTTGGAAGCATTAGTTAACACCCACAAAGGGAGTTAGTGCAGCTGAGCTGATGCACTGCTGTCAACTACACACAAACCTTCCTGCATGGGTAAGCGTCAGTATTATAGAAGAAAAGGGTCACAACTATCGTGTTGTTCACAGCCCAGCAATTGACAGAAGCTCCAGGGGGTCAATGTTTCAGAGAACTGTGACGTGACTGGTGGAGACCAAAGCCTAAACAAACTGGTTTATTTGCCATTTTCAAAACAGAAACCTCCACTATCATAAAATCATAGCCCAGGTTGGAAGGGAGTTTGAAAGACCATCTGGTCCCATCTTTACACAGGAGAGGGAGCCTAAATGAGATATAGTCCTGAAGAAAGTTAAGGTGCAAATCTATGACTGCGTTTTAGAATTTGGATGTTAAAAACATGATGCTTAGCTATTACTGTGACTTTTTTTTTTTCCTTAAAAATGGAAACTGTAAAGATTTTACAAAGACATTTTGAAAGTATACACAAAAAAGATATGTTCCCACTGTACTACATTGACTCTTGCAAATGATAAGCTAAATTCCAGCAGAAAAAGTTTCATTGCCCTTAGGATACTTATTGCCATTTGTGCTGCCTCTGGATTGGGACAGAATTTCACACATTAAAGGCCTCTACCAGAAGACAAAATGAATTTGCACCATTTTCCCTCCCAAAATAAATTCTGTAAGTCCATGCTTGTATCTTCTTGTATTGAATTGAAATACTGAGCCAAGCTGCTACCAAAGTGAAATTACAGTAGGGCTTTGGATTTTTAATTTTAATTCCCCTCCTCTTACCTCTTTCTGCCACTTCACTATGTGATGAGGTCCTAGATAGCTGACTTTGTAAGCGTTCTATTTCTGCATCTTTGAGAGCTAATTGCTCTTGAAGCTGGGCTATCTCAGCCTGAAAGAGAGTACAACAAATTCAGAATAACATCATCACCGATTCTCTGTGAGTCTTTCCTATGAACTAGGAGACTTCTAAGTACAATACTTTAATTTGATTGATGTCCTGCTCCCAATTCAGGCTATTTCATAAACACTACAGCAACCTTACACATTTCATGGTGTTACTATCCTATTCCTCAGCTCTTAATGCCACAGTGCTGGTCATATATTAATGAATATCATAGGGCATGTCCTGAGTTTTGCTACAAGATAATATAGCATTTTTTAAAAGATATTGTTTTCTTTTTTTTTAATCCTAGCTACTACTTATTAACATAACTGAGAATACATTAATGCTGCTTCCTCTTCTCAGCAGCATTACAAAACTGTTCTCCGTCACATCAGATACTGCAACAAATAAACTAGAAGCAAAGCATCTTGGAAAACATCACATATATGCAACCACACATCACTGGTTCAGTTACATTTACTGCAATTTGTGCTGCTGCGAGATTGGGATAGAATATCACACACACTAAAGGCCTCAACAATACAGAGGGAAAAGTATGCTGTGATTGTCCAGCTTGAAATACAGCGACTCTCATCTCTTTTTCCTATTTAAGAGAAAAACTGCCAACAGCATACTTTCCTTAGTAGCTTCATGAAGATTTCCTTCAGCAGCCTTAAAGTATTTATTAAATGTAATATTCTGCATTTCCCCAGCAAAAGCATACTAAGCCTCCTTGCAGTTAAAGGAAAAAAAGAAACAACAAAAAATGTGACCAGTTTCTCAAAATACTAAAATAAAGCAGGAAAATAATGCGAAACGCAAAACAACATTACCCAAACAATAGATTTACTCTACTACACAAACTTATTTTCACCAGGAAGCAAGCAGCTGGATGGCAGCAAAAGGTCACCACTCTGCCTGCAATTCTGTGTGGAATAGAGGAATCCACTTTGTTGCATCTCTGAAGGGCTCCTACACTTCCCAGTGACTAATATTCTTTTTATATCCAGCTATGGAAATATTCCAATTTCTCATCTAAGAAGCTGGAACAACAGGAAGACAAAAGCTGCAGACCTCTTAATACCAGATTTAGATTTGCCTCCCCTGGTCTATTTGATCTCATAGCTCTTTTAAATGCTTTCTTTTCCTTTAATTCCCATTCCTGTCATCTTTACAATTGTTTTTCTTCTTTCTCCCTCTTTCCCTGTACTTTTTTTTTCCTTTCTAGTCCTGAATCTTCTCCCAGTCAATGGGTTTTATGACTCTTTTTTCTTATTTTCATTCTACTCCTACACTTTCCATCATCTTTATCTGTCCTGGCAGCTGGCCACACACTGCTCGAGAAAATATTTTCCCAAAGACTCTTCATTTCCACCACGTCAGAGAAAATGTTTTCACGGATACAAGAGTTATTATCTTAATAGGAAAAAAGACATGATAGCAAAATTTCAATATTAATCTAAGAATTCTCAAAAGAAAGAAATGCTAATACAAATAATAACGAGCTGTCATTTGTGGATCAAGCTATCAAGCATTAAAAAGAAAACTGAGATTAATAATTTGAAATGTTTTTCTAAGATCTAACCACAACTCAAAAAAGACAGTTGTTCTTATGAGCAGGGATTATAGTACCATACAAATGAAAGGAGATGTGATTACAGCACAAAAGAGTACCTCAGCAGGGAAAAAAAGTTGCTTTTTAATCTAGTGGAAAAGGGCTAAAAATTAAAACTAAAATTAAAGTACAACTGTTTAACTAGAAAAATTAATTACTGGGGAAAATGATTAAATGTTTCATGCATTGAGTTTCTCTGGATTATGATCCAACAGCTTTCCAGGATCTAAGGTCAAGAGAAGGGTAAGGCCACTGTACACTTTGATATACATGAAGCCAAAGCAGATGATCTAATGGTGTATTTTGGGCTTAATGTCTCTTAAAATAAATTCCATAGTAAGTGAACACCCAACCAACTTTGCATGTCTCGTCTCTTCAGTTTGGAAAGCATATTCCACAGAGGCTCGTCACCATTACACAAATAAGAGACAGAAAACCTTCAAAGACAACCTTTCCTCAGAACAGGTCTTTTGTAAGTCAAAATGTTTTGTTTTGTTTTTTTAAAAAAAAGGAATTACAAAAAGGTAGAAGACTGGAAACTGCAGGGAGGGAGCAAAGGGCGCAAAAAGCAGCTACAAAAACTATAACCCAAAATACTTATCCCAAAGATGGTTGAAGAAAACTTGACTTTATAGTAGGCCCTGACACAAAGCAATTGTAAAGAAAGCAAATATTGATGAGAAGTAGAGCTGAAATAAGTCTGCCATTAGTAAATACCAAGTACTCTGCTTACTTTAGTTGCTTTTAACTTCCACTCGTATTGATTTCTTTCGTTTTCCAGTTCTTCCACTTTAATTTTGAGATGTCTAAGTTCCTGTAGCAAACCCTGCAAAGGAAGAACAGCAACTAAAAGTAAGATTATTCTGGTATATATTCATTTTCCATAGTCCTGAATGATCATGCCTGAACCACGAACACTGAACTACCACTTTACAAATTGTGTCTTAGTCTAAGACGACAAAAACTATTTTGAACTGAGAGATAAGGAATACTCTTCTCAAACTCTCCACCTGAAATTATGAGTGAATATCTCAGTCATACTGAGGAAGACAGCTGAGCCTGGTGAAGTCAGGTGTGCCTCAGTGAAAATGAGCCAAAAAATCCACAAATGCAATCTCATGTAACAGTAACTATTGGGTTTATTGCAGGGAGCTGGGGGTTGGGGTTTTTTTGTTTGGGTTTTTTTTGGTGTTTGTTTTATTCTGTTTTACAGCCATCTCAGAAAGGAAGCAGAAAAATGTAGTGCTAAAAAATTTACTAACTTTAATGAAAGTTAGTAACAATCCTCTCCCCAAATGGATGTTTAAGCCACTTACCAAGAAAAATAGTGCTCAGACTAAATTGTATCCAGCAAGTTCTGGGCATTTAATACCATACTCATACAATCAAATCTGACTACAAGTATGCAACTTTCAGCAATGATTTTTGCCTCTTCGCAAAGTGAGTTGATGCAGCCTCGAGCTGCAGCCCACCACGGTTCCTGACATTCTCCACCTGTTCCTCTGACAAAGTTGTCTCTTAAATATCCCTTTCTCCCTTTCCTTGACAGAACCATATCCTATTGTTTATTTTGAACGACAACAGTATTAAATGGAGCTCTCATGAAACCAAATGTCTTAAAATGAACCAAGGAAAGGGAAAAAAGGAAAAATTTGAAGTGCAACCCAATTTTGGAATCCAGCATAGTATATACATTAAGTAACCATACTAATATGTTGGATTAAATTTATGTTTATTGTGAATGACTTTCAGATTAGACTCGCAGATTATTTCTCCACTACGCAGCTTGTACTGCAGTCTAATACTTCACTAAATAATTCTGGACAGAGCCAAGCTAAGGTAAAAAAAATAGCACTATTTGCAAAATAGGCATCGTACCCAAATGAGTTATTTTTGTAAAACAAACCCATGAGAAAAATTGGTAAAAAACTCCCTTACAATACAAGCAGATTATTTATAAAATGAGTTCTGGGGATCCAAATTTTAACTGAAGAGATGTTGCAACTAAAGCAAACCAATTTAAAAGCAAATATTAAAATGGACTTTTTCAGGCATACCATTACCATTCCACATTCAGTAAATTTAAGCAGTTTATGCAAAGTAGCTTTTGTTTTGACATGTAACATAGTTTTGATCAAATACAACTAGGATCTGTAACATAAATTCAAAAATGCTTTTCTGGTAACTGCTAATGTCAGAGAATAAACAAAAAGATGTTGGATTCACTATTTTAAATATAAGAGCAGGTGGCTCTTTTCATTCACTTTGTATCATTAGAAAAAATAAAGGATACACTTCAGACAGTCTTACCTTAAACTGTATTTTATACCTGTGTTAAGCTTTTAAGATATTCAGGAATTAATAATCTGTGTTCAGAGGACTGGTTAGGGTGTACCATCGTGCATGGCTACGGTGACATTATCCTGAAGAAAACTACCAAACTACCAAACCATGCTAGCATGCTCCATGTCAAACAGACAAATCTCAAGTAAGAAAAAAAGCAAACAAACAAAGAACCCCCCTCCCCCAAAAAACAAACAAAACAATCCACACCACATGAACACTACAGACTTACAAGTAAAATGAAAATCAAAAAACCTGAAAGAGGTGACTAGGCCTTACAGATACCTGTGCTTTAGTAGACAGACATCAATGGTGACCAAATTTGTCCCAATAATCAGGGGCGGGGTGTCTGGGATGGGGATTTTTTATTAATTTTTATGACCTTTGCTAATGAAAGCCACAAAGATTAATGCCACTAATTCACAACATAGCTCTGGTTAGCAAAATTTAGTTTCTGCAAGGGAAGAGAAGAGGCAATACACAGGCTTCTGCTAAGGTGTACTTCTCGTACATCACACCAAGAGCAATTCTTCTGGCTGAGAGTCGCTACCACTGATCTTGGACTAGATTGAGGACCATTAGGTGTCAAGTCTGGTTTCCTATCTTGAGACTTTCTTTCTTGGATTCTATTGTTAATTTCCAGCTGCAGTCTACACATCTGCTCCTGTAGCTCACTGATCAGGTTCACTACTGACTGAAAACATAGGGAGAAAGGAAAAAAAAGAAAAAAGGGAAAAAAAAGTGAGAAAGAAAATGATGCAAAGAAGGTACTTCTACAGTTGCAGCACAAAGAATAACATGAAGCACATCAAAGGCAAACTGAAAAAAAACCAAAACAAAACAGATTATATGTTTCCCTGCTGAGGAAGTAGATGTGAATGAGTATAATTCTGGAATAGTGCACAAAGCTACAGTTTAAATAGAACAAAATCTATATCCCAGACTAATTCATGATTCTGATTCTAATGTGAAGATCGGAATTTGGGCCATTTTTGGAAACTTACCCACTCGCATGAAGACAGATATCGGGAAATACTTCAACATAATTTAATATGCTGGCTCAGAGGCACACTTTCTCTGAAATGGACTTGATTACATTCATTTACATAGCCAAATCATCCACTAGGAAGAAATTGCCAAGTGCTCAGTTGGGGCCATAACCTATTCTTTCATAATTTATACACAGGGTTTACCAGTAAACTAATTCTGCTTCCAGGTCTAGCATGGGTCAGAAAAATAACTCCATTACCTAGCTTGCTAGCTACTCAGTATCTTGTCATGCAGAAAGAGTTAAGCAACATACAGAAGAAATCAAAGGATACCACAGAAGAAAAAGAAATTACTTTAAAGTGCACTGATTTGGTGGCCAGCTTCTTGGATTTGGATATATAGGTGATACACACAAAAAAATCCAGCTACAGAAAGAAAGCAAACCAAAGAGAAGTATTAAAGATCCATATAAAATTTAACTTAAATTCCCTAACTCAGTAGCAAATAGTGCTAGGTATTTCCTCAGGTATTACAACTTTGGAGTCCTTTTCTCTTAATTTTCATGTATGCTAACAACATGATTATGTTTTGTGATTTCTCAGTCTTCTCAAGTGGAATAAATTTGATGAGATGAATCCATCTCCCAAAGGAGTGAAAAAGCTTTTAGTGGACAGAACAATAGATGACATGACATTTCTTTTTCTTTTAGTATCTTCTTTATTATTATGCACAACAGTCCTCCTGTCATCTCAACTCTTTGGTGAACCAACAATCTCAATGGTAGGGAACAGCTGCTGCAAGGACAGGACACTATTCTGACCAGGTAAGTATCTAACACAACCTACCTCAAACTGTATCAACATCCACAGACAACTTTAAACATTCACAGAGATTCCCTTACAAAAGTGTATGTATCAGACAGGTGCAAGAGTTCCACATCAGTTAAGTATTTTACTAGGCCACCGTGCTTAATACAAAATTCAGAAAAGCAGTTGCATCCATTTCACTTTATGGATGTTCTTCTCAATCAGGCTCACAACATCCTCTCATCCTCTTTCATTCAACGAACCTTTTATGCAAGTAAACAAGGATCAGTTCCGTAAACAATCAAAAAATTTACAAGAAGTACTGGGCCCCAGCACGTCAACTCTGCAATATCTAGTCTTTTACAGACTGACATGTTTTGCCTGGGTAAGAAAAGATCAGCTCCCCGAGGTGAAACCATATCCTTTGTGTGTTCAGTGGCCGCATTAGCCACTTTGCAGCCATACAGCAGGACAGTGGTGAGGAGACCACCCCCGTAGCTAACCCATCCTCTTATCAGAGCACTGCAAAGCAGGACACACACAGGACTCGCTTTCTGTATAATTTAGATACTATCCATAATCCCTCCACCTTCCATGCTTTGATTTTCTTTCTGTTTTTACCATCATCTCCACAATGAGATGCCTCACTGGGCAGTACCAACTGGAGACTGGAATCACCAGGACACACATCCATCCCCCTTGCTTTCTTTGAAGCACCAAGGCTTTAGTCTGTGCTCGTCTTTCACAGAGCACACTGTTAACTCGTACGAGGTTCTGAAGAACCACTGCTCAAACAAGATGCACGGACTTTTGAGCGCAAACTGACAGCTGCTCCAGTTGTGGCAACGTGGGAGAGTTCAGAAACACTTCTGCTGCTGCCTTGTAATTCTTTTCTCTTTTGCCTCACATTAAAAATGGGAATGGGAAACACTCTGTATTCACACAGGCTTCCTTCAGGGCAAACTTGACACTACAGAAATGGCAGAAATCCTTATGCCAGTGAGGGATAAGAAGTTCATGGAAGAGAAACAGATGAACTCCAGCTGCAATATATGCCTTTACAATTGTTTCTAGCTTCAAGGGAGAAAAGGCTTCTCATGTTTGAGATTCTTTCACAGCATGGAAATTTATTAACACTAACATACTATATCTTGAATTTGATTCAGGTGAGACAACACACCAAACTCGCCAGTGGGAGTCAGCGACTCACTGACTCAAGTTTCTTTGAAATTGCAAGTAACCAGATATTTAATTCAGAAGTATCCACACAAGAGCCAAAACCCACTTCCCAACAGCTTATAGCAAACTTCAGATCTTCAGTATCAAAGAGAAGTCACAAAAAGTAAAGAAAAAGCAGGACAGAAGAAGGGCTGTTAAATGTTTGGGGTTAAATGGTTAAGGTGAAATTCACAATTATTCCTGCAGTCTCCTGATAGTGACAGAAGGTCCCTTTTCTCTATGTTCAGGTAGAGCAAGCATCTGGGCTGCCTTTAATCACCTGATAATGCTGTTCTCTCATACCTTGCTACATTAAGAAAACACACTTCCAAAACTTCTAAGGCTTCTCAGGTAAGAGAAAAGCTACAGAAACTCCCTCAGGTGAGATTACAGAAACCTTCAGAGCATTGCTGCGGCAAGAGTAGAACATTATTCCACAAAGAAGGAATTAAAATAACAAAGAGTGAGACTGTCCATTTACAAGCAGCTATTCTCCTGGCCCCTATGTTATATATATATGAATAAATGGCACTTTAAATTTAGCATGTGTTTTGAAAGAGCCAGAGACAAGTGGCATTCAGTGTGAAATTAATACCTTTGAGAGGAGGACAGAGATGCTTGATAAGCTCTTTGCTGCTAACTAAAACCAAAACTCAGCCACAGCTGCACAAGATAAAGTGAAACCAATCTGACACGTTAAAACTTGCTCATATTTAGAAGGGTATCTTGGTTTGTTTTGTTTCCCCCCAACCCAACCAGAGAAATAATTCTACAGATAAATTCTATGTGACTGGAAACAGCTGCTGTTTAATAAGCTGAAAAAAAATTAGAGTACAGAGCAAATATGTTTAGCTGAATTATTCTGCAATGTCACATTTAATTTCAAAAATTTTAAAATCCCGTATTATATATATGGAAATTGCAGGGTCAGCTATGAAATATAATTAACATGCTGCTTAAAATGGTTTAACTACTGGATGCTTCTAACACACACACTAGGACTATTATTTCTGATAGTAGCAAATCAATAAAATCACTGTTCTGCTCACCTGTCAACCCTAAACTCAAAGCTGAAAGCAGCAATTGGCAAGCTACAGTCTATAAGAAAGTCTCTAACTCTGTTACCCATAGCTTTGTTCCACTTATGTAAAAATATGAAATGCCATTTCATTTGAGGCATCACACATTGTAAGAGCAGGTTGTAGCAGCTGGGACATTCAGAGATACAATTACAGCAAGATTAATTTCATTCAGTCACTGTCAGGTTGGAGAACTGTGTCACTTGAAGCAATTAGTTTACCCCAACACAACTGTGTATGCATAAACTAGGGCATACTAAAGGTAGACCATTGGCCTACACAAGAGTGAGTGGTTTATTGACTAGAAAGATGTAGTTGGGCAGTAGAGGCAAGGAGTTCAGGAAGACACTCAAAGATATTACCAAATTTAAGCATCAGTTGTAGCCTAAAAGTATAAAGAAAATTTATTAATAAATTTCATTCTGATTCTTTGAAATTGTGTTTGTATTGAAAATTTACAGTAAAATTTACTGTAAAAGGAGCTGAAATAGGGTTAAAGCATCAGAATTCAAATAAGCATCCAGTTTGACTGAAAGCAACCCCTGTTTATCTTGACAAATTGGATTAATGCTTATTCAGGACAATCTGAAATAATTTTTAAAATCGCTCAATGAGCAAACCAAAAATGCTGTTTAATTAACAACATCCATTTTCCTTGGTTTGTATACAAAGGTTTGCAGCTTTCAACAGGCCAGAAATGTAACACATCTCGGGGTAGTTAATAATTCAGGGCACACTTAACACAATGATTCTCAACTTTTCCATCAGATTAGAATCCTTTTCCATCTCAGCAGGAACTTTTCCTATCACTTAGCAATACAACAAAGGCTTCCAGGCCAACAAAGTTCAACTTTTCCACACAAGGGGGACACACACCTTGTTGCTGTGGCAGAAGAATTTCACAGGTGATGTCCTCACCCTCATCACAGGCTGAGACCTACTGTCAATGCAAACACACTCAAGCGTGTTGCTGCTTTCCAGGAGCCATGTCCTGGACCCAACCAGGCACGTCCTGCAATAATTTAAGCAGCCTTGTCCTACTATTGCACATATAATGGGAAGAGCTGAAGGCCCCTCGGGAAGATGGCTGTTGGGAGCAGCAATTAGGCACTGCACTGACCTGTTTAGATCTTCAGGTAGTACTGCTTACACCTTCTGTACACAAGACACTGACAATTATGGGTGAAAGAGCATGAGAAGGCCACAGATGGTAAAAACAGCAGCTGGTGCCTCTCTGGCTTGCAACCTCTGCCAGAAATTGCTCTCTTTAAGCTATCTTTTAATCTCTAAAGAAAACTTCAGAGGATAAATAAGTCAAAAAACAAACACACCCCAAACACATGATGTCACTGCAGGTAAATTATTTATGTGTAGTTATCAAATATTCTACTAGCAACATTATAGAGAGCCAACAGCTTTCTAACACTACCTGGATTTCAAATTCTCCTAACTCAATGTGGAATGTAAAGTCTTTTTTTCTGTCAGCATGTATTAATCTGGAACCTAGTAATCCTCCCTTGCCAGGTAATCCTCTCCTGCTAGTTGGTCCCCTCCCAGAACCACTGAGTAGGGCAACACATGGCAATTTGTATGAATTACCATCTTCTATAATCGCTTTCCCTCCCAGCTCCCACCTGCTGCTCACTACCATGTAATAAATGGTTGTTCATCTAATTCCCCACTTCATGCTCTCTTTCTTGACCAATATGGTAAAAAGCAAAGCTTCTTTGATGTCCAGAACCCTCCACATCTGAAGGGGAGCAAAGGTTAGAATTTTCCCAAATGAGTGTCATTTTTTTGCACTATTAATTATGTAACCACAAGGGGAAAGGCTCATCTGAGGAAAAAGCCCCACCCCTTGTTTTTCCCTCCCAAGTACCATGAGTGCATTAAAATCACCAAAGGTCACCCTCTAAGAGTTTGCAGCACCCCGATACTACTGAGCTGACAGTCTTCTCTGCCACAGAAATGAGGAAATAGAAGAGCCCTGGCTGTCCTCATGTGGCTGTGCCAGTCCAGCTCCTGTGGAAAGGAAAGGGTTATGTGGACGCCAATTGTAATGTATGGTTCTCTCTGGAAGGGACTTTGTGCCTTGATTAAAGCCAAACAGCAACCTTTGAAGTATAATGAGAGAGGGGAAAAGAAACCACATCCCAAAAATGCACAACCAGATTTCTCACTGAATTCACAGGATCAATGATACAGACTGTGCTCCAAGCACGGAAAATGCTATTGCGTGCGGATTTTGGGTGAAAAGCTCAGGTGTATGAAAGCATACCATAGAAACATGGCAGAGGAAAAGCTCAGGTGTATGAAAGCATACCATAGAAACATGACAGAGAGAAAAAAAAAACAAAAAAAAAAAGAAGATAAGCTAATAGCTAATGAAAGAAACTCACCTCAGCTTTGCTCTGTTTCTCTTCATATTCACTCTGTTCCTTTTCCATACCAACCAGCTTAATCTTCAGGTCTGAAACTTCAGCCATTAGATCTAATTTCTGAGTCTCTAGTGATGTTCGACTTAGCAACTCCTAAAAGCAATGCAGAACATTTTCTTCAGTTATTTATTTGAACACTGACCCAGAACCCCAGAAAAATCTCTACCCTGGTATTTAATGCTTTGAATATGAAAGCAAAATGATTTTCTTCTTCAGAAGTCACACCTGCTACTGCTTTATAACGCACAGAAAAAAAACACCAAACCCAGCAAGGTAGATTAATGTAAGCATTTACTGCAGGCAAAAAAGTAACTAAAAACAAATAATAATGTAGCGATTGGCAAATTCATATGAAAGCAAATTTCTCTACCTCTCTTCACAATGTGTACACTTTGAACTGTTTGAACTGTGTGTTTCTGGAGTTCTGCAGCTATGTTCACCTAAATGTTCTCCTGTGTTAATCAATAAACCGCTGTGTCCCCCTGCCTATTTCAAGAAAATGTTTGGCTAATCCCTGGGCAAGACATGAAATCAGAAAACAATACTAAGGCTGAACAGACACAAACTGACACAATGCCACAGAGACCTTCACACGACACATCACTAAACAGCTGGCTACTTCCTAAAATACTCATTAGACAAAGCTACATTTTAGTATTACAATGAACTATTTTAGAACTTCTTATCATGTGTTATTCAAGAAGGGATGTATTACAGAATGAGCACCCTAACCAAAATAGAGCACCAAAGACAAGCCATGTTCCTGCAGTCACGCAGCACCCTAACCAAAATAGAGCACCAAAGACCACGTTCCTGCAGTCACGATAATACTACTTAAAAGTTTACACTATGTAGTACTTGTTAACTTTTCAATAGCACTGAATGAAAATTGGTATGTCCTAACTGGAATCTAAAAGGCAATGTCTAAACGAGAAACAGTTGGCCATGACTTTTGCTTCTGTGCCCTGAATTTGTTTTTCAGATTGTGGAGAAAGGCACGCTTTGGACAGAGTGGTATCACTGTGGATGGAAAATACTCAATATTCACACCTTCATTGCATCTCTCAGTTTTCAAGAAAGCCAAAGCAAAAAAATCTTGCAAAATTTAATAGAGTGTATTGTCTACAGTCTCAGTTTTCAAGAAAGCCAAAGCAAAAAATCTTCCAAAATTTAATAGAGTGTATTATCTACAAGAAACGCTTCTGTTGGCTTCCATTTTCAAAGAGAAAAAAAATCCATTAGGAGTTTAAACCTCAATAAAAAAATCAATACCTAACTTTCCAAGTGCCTAATTAATTTTTACAAAAAACCCATAGGTTTCTAAGTGTTTAAAAAAAACTTACTGTAATTCAGAACTCAGAATTGTGTTTTGATCATGTGAAGTGCACCAAGGAATCAGAGCAGATTCTGCTTTAAATTACACGGAAGTGACTTAACTGAAGTTGGCATAGTTATTCTGGATTTATGTTGATTTTACTGAATGATCAAGAATCTGTCCTACCCATCACCCTTTTCTCATCTCTTCCTCTTCCACCAGCTGTATGTTGTAGACTACGGCTTGGAGCCAAGGAAGCCACAAAGGTTTTTTTTAAAAATCATAAGTTTAAGTTTATTTGGTACCCAAATCTGCTCTACATGTAAATTGTTTTAGTCTGGTGGGGAATACTGCCCAAATTAAAAATAGTACTAAACTTGCATCTGCATTGCAACACCAATTATCTAAGCCACCCACTATTCCCAGTGCCATGCCCATTCCTGCTGACATTGACAATGGTATTTGTGTATGGATGGGAAAATAAACAGAAATGTAGCCTCATGGTTTGCTTTTTTTTTTTTTTCTTGGAATGAAATAAATCATGCACTAATCAGGAAAAGATAGTGCACTGACTTTTTTTTTCTTGAGAAACTCAATGAGGCAGTCACCTAATGAAATCCCAGTAGTAGCTACTTTCTACAAAGGTGATTACAAATTACAATTATAATTACAAATAATACCTCTGTCTTGCAGAAAAATACTAATTTGCACAAGTTCCAGAGGCACATTCCAGTCCAGACTGGAATAAATTCTGTACAGCTGTTAACACAACAGACTTCTGCAGTTTAAGACATAGCTATAAAGGAGAACTTTGATATGGAATAAGGCCACTGAAAATGAGAAGGGCCGCCAGGATGAGGTGTCTTCAGCCCCATGGACAGACTCTATTCACTGTTGAGCCAAAACAACAACATTTAGAATTTTTTTTTGCCACTGGCATGGTGTTCCATGATACAACAGGAAGATTTCTTAATAAGGCAAGGAGACATGGCATCCCTCTAGAGACTTTTAACAAAAGATCTATCCTTTGAGTGCATCATCTGGCATTACTCCTAAATTTTTCTATAGACTCCCAAATTACACTTAGCTATGCAATGGAAAGTAATACCTCACTCCTCTCATTCTGAGTTCAGTAGCTCAATGTGAACACTAAGGTGCTAATTGGTATAAGGAAGGCAGCTGAATTTTTTTTTTTAATCAACTCAAAATTTTACAGTTTGCTCTGAAGCTGGAGAATCAGATCCACAGCTAGTGTAAACTGGCATAAAACTCTTGCCTTAAAATAGACAAAATAGCTAACTATCCCTGGTTTGTTTTCAATGGAGCTACACTGATTTAAAACAGCTGACAATTTCTCTTGCATCTAGAGAGTCTAACTTTTGCTTTGAAAGAAAGTGCCGTTTAAAGTAAATGTCCCCTCTTGAAATGGTAACATCTGGAAGCAATTATTTTCATCTTCAAGCAGATGCTCACAGTGAACAGCTCATTAAGAATGTGACCCATTTTGTTACAGAGAAATTATAGTGTATTTCAGTGGTATGATGCAACTTGAATTCAGCCAGAATAAATATGCAATTGTAAGAAAAGAAAATACACATTTATGTTTTTGGTTTTAAAGCAAAAGAGATAATATAAGACAGGCAAAATGGTAATTTGGGCTGCAGCAGCTTTAGGAGGATCTTAAAGAACTGAAATACAAACCAGAAATAGAACATATTCTAGGGCATTTTATTTATAAACAAGATACTTGTTTTTAATTTTAAAACATACTATAATTATAATTTAATTTTTCAAAGTTCTTTTCTCTGAAACTCAACTTTTAACTTTAAAAATAAAAAAGCTATTTTAAAGTAGAAAAATTACAAGGATGAGTCATACAGAAGCTACAATATGCACGTACCAGACAGATCAATGAACAGCAAACTATTTCCAAAAACAATTTATTTTTAAAACTCATACTTGTTAAATATTTAATAACGTTTTTCAATATTCCAAATGAAAATAAAACCCATGCTGTATATCTCACAATTTTTTGTCTTGGAAATACAATTCTTATAAAGCTGCTTATAAAATCTAATGTGAGAGAAAATAGTTTAGCAAGAGGACACTAAACTATTCTAGGCTGTCAGCTGCAAGCACAGAAAATTCCAGAAAATTGAGCACTCCACAAAACAGAAGAAACAATCCAATCATGCCATACACTGATTGAGAAACCAGAAGTAAGATTTTAGTCAAGTGGAGGGGAAAAAAAAAAGCTCCAAAGATCCCATTTTTCACCTGTGCACTATAAAAAAATACAACACTCAAAAAATCTCAGACTTTTCACCCTTATTAAAACAGTTGAGAGAGACAGACCGACCGACCAAGCTACCTACCTGGTAAGCAAAATGCAGCAAGAAGCACTGCTAATGAGGACTGCACTTTTCAAGTGCTGTGTGTCAGCTGTGGTAGAAACAAGATATTTGCTTAACTGAAAACACAGCTGAGAGCAATGTACATGTGTAATCAGCATGAAATGGTGCAAGTCAGTAGCAGAGAGTGAATTACAGCCCTCCAATTCATCATTTGCCCATTACAGAGTTAAGCAATGGAAAGGACAGAACTTCCCATTGCACTGCCAATTTGAACAGCCCTTTGCATACGCCCGACGAGCAGATTCCTGCCTACATTAAATGTAAAATAACAAAGCAGTGTAATGCTCACCTGTATAGATAAGCTGCACAGCTTGAAAGCACACTCTGAAAACCTTACGCCTCCCAACCAGAGCAGCACAGAGCACACTTCAAAATCTGAAACACTAAGCTAGCTGCTGGCAAGAAGTTACTGCATGCTATAAACAAGTGCTGAAATTCATCTAAGATCAGATAACTCAGGCAATTGAAAGTTGAAGGAATGATCCTTGCCGGCCAGCAAAGTTCCTGAGAAGCAAACAGATACACACCAGATTTATACTCTGCAACCACGACAGGATTCTGGTTGCCCTGAGTAAAACACAGCTGCAAAACTAGAACAGGTACACACTAAACTGCATTGGATTCAAGTTCCTATTCTCATACAGCTCCACCCTGCATTCTTTTAATTCACTGTTTTTTAAAAGATTCTCCATTGTGCCTCACAAATGGAGGCTGGCACACTTTCCCTTGCCCCTTGCACCCAGGCAGCAGTTGGCCACAAACTGACATGAGAAACAGAAATTCAGTCCTGGTAGCATTCAAGCAGTTCAGTTTCTATGTGTATTTTTAAGACAGAAAAAATCCTAAAGCCAAGTGCTTTGTAATTTGCAAGAGAATTTACTTGGTAGAAGACACAATGATGTTTACACAATGCATCTGACAAGAGTCCCCTGGATTCCTTCTAGCAATTACATGTCAGAAATGATTTGGAAGGCAGAAACACATGGTCAAACCACGTCTAGGATTTCGGTAAGGTACAGAAAAGCCACTGCCACACAGATCAGCATTTTGATGGGCACAGCAAACTCTACACTGTTATACTTTATGCCACAGAGCTTCAACAGGAACTAGTATCCGTCATACATCAAATGCAGCACTGCTATAGCAAAGAGGTAACTTAACTATTCTTACTAATGATAATTACCATAAAAAATATACTTAAAAGAACTGTGGAATTGATATCTGTATGTGCAGAAAATTCACTTTTCAAACTGACTTAACACAACCGTCCATATTGACAGCATAGATTCCATACCACCAATGTGTTTACATTTTGCATAGTCAGTACTTTCTGTTACAGGAAAATTTAGGCTACTTTATAGAGCAAGAATTACTTTTGCTTTCCAATTCTACTCTACGTTTGTACACAGTACAAATGAAAGAAGAGTTGACAGCAAGTTGATAGGAAGTTCCGCCAAAGCTAACATAGCAGATGTTCAAGACCTTCTATTTTTCAAAAAATTAGTTCATTCTTAAAATTGAATGGAAGAATTGTACTTAGAAATGCCATGAACTAACTTAGAGGAAGACACATACACATCATTTTTCTCTAAAATTGGCTGTGATTTTACATTTTAAAGCAGCTGATATACAGGAAATGGGCTGTCACAGCATAAATTGTTTTCATAGGTTAAGTCTAGGAGGGTTTCTTAAAATTAATTTCAAGACTTATTCATTACAATGTGCTAAGGGGAAAGGCAGGTAACTATTCACACAAGCTGGCATTTTCATCTATTTTACACATTTGATGGCAAGAAAGAGATACCACTGGAAGGCAATTCAGTGAGACAAAACTGGCATCTTGCTCCAGAAAATTTTGTCTTAACTTTATGATGAAAGATGACCAGGGAAATGTGTCATACACGTTCAAACCAGAATCAACTTATGGATCAATTTAAAGTTTTGCCGTTGTCTTTCATGAGTTTTCAAAAGACCTACTTTGTTTTAAAGAATGAAAATGCAGACACTTTCAAGGTGGAAAATGCTTTTTCTTGATTAGTGTCTGCAGCAGAACAAGTATCCTTACAAAAACAAAATGTTGAATTTAACACTGTAAGCATCACATCTCATGAAAACATACATGCATTATCTGTAACTGTGGACCCAAGGGCACCTCTGCATCTGTTAGACAGGAGTCTCACTTCTCAAATGCTGGTGAGTGGTATTTTCTTTGGCTGTGGTCTCATAAACAGCTAGGTAAAATGCACATCTCACCTATGCCTTCACCTTTTCTGTGAGCTGCTTCAACTCATGAACCCAGCAGGAAAACATTCCCTTTTTAAACCCCAAGTTAGTTTTCCTCCAGTCATTGAGGAAAAAATCTGATGAGCGTGACAGTCAGTATGAAATAAGTTGCAGAAGCACATGGTCAAGAACAGGGAGAGGGATCAAAGGAGAATGAGGCCTTCTCCTTTTTGTAGCGGTAACCTTTAGATTGGCTCAATTCATTTCTTGAAAGTTCACATTTTGACTAAGGGATATTGCACCGTCCTCTTGGAGTGACGAAGAATCACGCTTTTCTGCAAAGCAGCAGCAGTATCTGTTGCTACTGTTCCACATTCAAGATGTCCATCCTAAATGCCGAACAGCCATTTTATGTCATTTGCATAAAGTTTATTTTAGCTGCTGTTTCACAAGGGTTTCCATGATCGCTTTGTAGCAGGGTTCAAAACAACTGTGCATAAATCATAAGCCAGCAGGATTTTAGCCAGTAACCCCACCCCGACAAAGTGGACAAGTCTCTGCTAGCATATATTCAGGAAAAACTATTTTGCAGGGTAGCATGACATACCCTTTCTGCTGTGGAAGTACCAGATATCGTCATTAAGCAAAGCATATAAGGGTTTGTTTTTATTGTGGTATTTTGGGCACAGAATTAATTAAGAGTCACTTTTCTTCTAGTTCCCAAAATTAAAAAGACAGGGCTTATCCTGGACTTAGGTATATATGTCCCCAGATAAGTAAATATTCTTATTCATACTGTAGTTATCTTAGTTCTACTAATATACATTAAAGACTTTTCAAGCTAGGGCAATTATCTTTATTGTTCTATTTCCCTTTTAGAATAAAAGAATTGACTTCAGTTCACAAAGGTAAAAATCAGTGGAGTTCAATATATTGTAAATAAAAAACCATGAAATAAAATTAGATTTACACACTCCTCAGGAAGATAATATAAGTCTTTCTGAAAAGTAAGAATATTTACATAGGTAACAGAGCTAGATGACTGTTTCTTATTAGAAACATGTTAGTTTACAGTAAAAATAAATAAATACTGTCTTGAAAGACTCACAAAATAGTTTTAACTGGAAAAACTCAGTAACAACACTAGTATCTTTCATCTCTTTGCTAAGCATCATGAGCACTTGTAGAGGACACTGGCAACTGCTGACTGAGAAGATCTGACAAAACCTGATGGATCCATCAGTTTATTGAAGTCCCTGAGGCCAGACACTAACTCTACTTTTGACAAATTAACTGCAAGAAGCCCTGTTGGTCATGGATCTTAGACAAACGTCTTAATCATCACGTCATTCTCTTCTCTGCAAATCTCAACTCATTCCCTATAGAGAGTAATCTATTCAACGAGATGAACTGAGGAAATAACCTTCAAAATAAATTATAGAAAAATAGGGCCCGCTGCTGAGCCATAATAAATGTATAGTTTCTGACTGTTGAAATTTTGAGAGGTCTAACTTGGGTTTCCCACATCTCACTGTCTACTGGGGCATGTAATGCATGTGAGAAAGGCACCACAACTACCATTCCCTCATCAGCCTCTAGTATTTCACTTAATTTGCTCTTCTTACTGTTCACAAAACTAAAATACTAACTCAACATAATTTTTTGTCATTCCCGTGAGAAAATAAATTTTAAACATCTCAGTTCCATACTGAATTTATTTTTAGTTTTGGTTCAGCTATTGAAAGTACATGATTCACACTAAAATTAAAATACTAAGCATATGCATTTGTGTGTATGTGTCTGTGCAAAGTTCAAATGGAGAAACTCACAGGATTAAAATGAAACTCAAATCTTTACCAAGTTGTGGCCTAATAATTCTTCCTTTAAAAAAAACCCCAACAACCAAAATTATGCTATCATATATGCTGTAAGCATGAGAGATAAGTCTCTTAGAAATTTAGCAATCAACAATCAAACTTGTCTGTATTTCTGAAAATTATGTTCAAATGGAAGATCTCAAAACTACAATACAAAACAATCAACAAAATTGAACTTATTGCTAACTATTTAATATATGCACAGGAAAGAAGATAAATTTGAAATTACATTTAGCAACAATTACAGCCACTCAAAAAGATCTCAACCTTTAGATTTAAGGTTTATGTGAAACAAATTTGGAGATTCTCTGGCTTTTGTACAGACTTTTGTAGCTTATCACTGTAGGATCAGCTTTGTAAGCAATTTGTGCATGTGCCTAATGCCAAACAGGTAAATGCAAGCATTTTCACTGCAATAGCGATGTGCATGCATTATTATATTCTACTTTCAGATGCCTCACAGTTTCATCAGAAGCAGAAAATTTTAAGTCAGAGAAAGAATAAACAGTTTTAGCAGAAGTCATAGAACAACTACCTAGTTTTAGACTGAAACAGGAAACTTATACACTCTACTGTGAATGCCTTCCTGAAGTTTGAAAACAGATTTTCAAAACTTAACTAGTTACTGTTCTTTGAATTTCACTGAAAAACTAAATGCACTTGCATTTTCAAAAATGTCCCCTCATTTAAGTATGAGAATAAAACTTTTCCCAGCTGGAAACACTTTGGCCTCCTAAAGTTGTGTGAGACCAAGCTTTTTTTAGAGAAGCTTGGAGAATTATAACTTTAAAAGGCTTATTTGTCTTATAGAAACTGCTACTGTTTACATGCATATGTACATGGACCCTTATCATAGTAAAATAAGTTTATATACATAAATACAACTGTAATTTATAAGTTTATATAGATTAACACAACTATAATTTAAAGCTATGAATAGTTCATAGATTTGTATATTTCACACAGACTAAAATAGTAAATTTATAACACAACATTCTGGGTGGGGAGAGGAAATAAGTTCATCAAGAACAGTATCTATCCTGCAAACTTCTAGCGTAGATTTTGAAGGTTATTTACAGTTTGAAATCTATTTTTGATATCTGTGTACTATACTACCAGTGGATGATCTGCATCTCTAATAACAGAAAATTGCACCGGAAAAATTCTTTTTCATTGACAGACCTGCCAGCTCCACTATAACACATGCAATGTAAGGTATTTAATTTATCAACTGTTCTGCTCCCTCGACATATAACATGAAAGAGCAAAAACTGTATCACATAGCATGAAACTGTCGATTGAAATAAAGAAAGATATATTTTACATAGTAATTTTCTTTCAAAAATAAGGGGAAAGGTCCTAAATCACGTAAAAATGGTTATAGAACCAAACCTGATACAGTAGTTCACTTCAACTTACTACCTGTTCAGCTTTAAAGCCGTATGAAAACAGAAGATATTTAGACAAAACTTCTTAATTCTAGAACTCCTACATATATTAGATACATTAACCTGTCTAACCAGTTACTCAACCATGTCCAAATTTAGTTCGTCAGCACAGTACAAATAAGACACAATAGTCTCATTTTACATGCTGCCACGTACAGTGTTATGCAACCAGCCAGTAAAACATTTCTGCAACAGGAAAACAAAGAAACACTTACAGAAGAAAAAAAAAAAAGTGTAAAGCAGCAAGAGAACAATAAAAAGAGGCATTTTTTCCCTGCTTTATCGTGTTGCCAAAGGCACTCACACATGCAGACAAGCTGACCATGTATGTTCACTCCTTTGTTGGAGAAGATCATGCAAGAGGCTTTCCAATACAGATTTTTACCTGTTGAAGCATTTCTTCTGTAGCATTCAGTTTTAACTGATGCCCCTCAAGACAGATTTCTAAGTCCCGGATTTTCTCTCCTTGAGCTTCCACCTGGTCTGTAAGAACACTCACCTGTAATTTGAGAAGAGAAGCACAACGCTACTGAACTGACTGTAAATAAGTTTCAATTACCTTATACAATTAACATCCAAATACACATTTTAACAGCAAGTTCTCTTTTAAAGTCCTCAATGGTTTAATATTCTCGTGCACTGCAATAACCTGCTCTATCAAGATAGAGAATTTTTCAGTCTTATTTATATCTTGCATCAACCCCGCCCTCTGACCCCTCCTCCCTCCTTAATTATTTTGTTTTAATATAAAAAAAGAAAGAGCATTTCTAGAAGAGATGAAGAGCTACGTATAGGTAGCCTGACTCAGTTCACACAAATGTCTGAAAAACTGGAAAGCACCAAACAAGAACATAGGATATTGAAAATACTTTAAGTGGTTTTGGAGCATGCATCGCCATTTCAGGTTCCGTTGGCATTTCACTCCCTAAAATGGATAAACAATAAAACTGTTCATTCGGAAACCAACCAATTACCTTACTTCTTACAAGAAGAGAAAACCAGCTTACCTATCAATAAAGCGTTCTGAAGTTATAAAGAATGCAATGAGTAAAAGGCATGTTTTAGCAGCGGCAAAGTTCTATTCCAAGAAAAATTCCCAGGCTTTGCAAGCCAAAACATGAAAGCAATAGAAGCGAGATACAGACAATGAATCCCAGGAAAAGAAACAATAAGCAATACTGGTAAAGAACTGTGGGAATGGTGGGACAGACCAGTGAGTGTGTAATAAGAAAAACTGAGCAGCCTAACTCAAAGCTTGCAAAGCTGAAAAAACACTCAACATAACGTTAGAAAGATGGGAAAAACTCCCAGTGTTCATTCCTATCTTAAGCAGCACATACATGCTTTATATTCATTTTCACTATTTATTGATATAAAAGCCTTGATTATACTAGAAAATTGTTGCTTCAAACAAAAAAGCAACCTTAGGTGTTTAAATTCTGGTTTGAATGAAATGCGTCAACAAACTATAACAAATAACAAATCTGTGCTGTCACATCCAGTTCTGCAATACCTTTATTAAATAAAAAAGAAAAAGTACAGTATGCGGAAGTGAAACTTTTGAGATGTACCCGCTACGCAGGATTTCTAAAACCCAAGAAATGAACAACTGAGTTCACTTCGGGGAAGCTGCAGAGGGAGTGCCTACGTGATCCCTACTTGTTTTACCTGCAAACATAATGACAAGCATGCCTGGGAACAGAACAAAAAAAAAAAAAAAAAAAAAAAGAGGACTATTTTATTTTTTCGCCTTTAAAGCAGTTGGCTCTAGGGTAGAGTACAGATGATAGGAAGGAGTGGGTGGCTGCAGATGGCAAGGGGACACATTCAAGCTGGGGCAGGGGGAGAACTCCCTGCAAGGAAGTCTGTTGCTTATGTACTTTTTTGTTTTGCTCCCATTAGCCGAGTGATGGCACACAAAAATCCCCTGTGAGGCCAGGAAGCAGGAAGAAACAAACAGAATCCTCTCCTTCAGTCTCATGAAAGTTCCAGAGAAAGAAAACAAGCTCTACTTAAAGGGTTGGATAAGCCTCCAATTAGCCTTGTTACCTATAAGGAAAACTATCTTAAATGTGACCTGCAAAGGAATTCAGTAAAACAGCAGCTTTAGAAGTATGTATTGGCTGTTCCAGTAGTTAGGCTGAGAGGCACATTAGCCACTTTCAGCTCATATTTTCCCCTCTGTTCAGGATCACATCTGCCAGACTCTTCAGAGAATCAGTAGGCTGCACACAGAAGGTAACCTCAGCGTATGCTACGCTGGCAAGTCCATCCTGCCTTGGCCATGCAATACCCTCAAGAGTCAGCCCATAGATAATATTTTCTGTAAATACCGACAGAAGCGAGGCATATTGAACAATTAACTAGAAATCAGATGGTATAAGGGTTTAAAACATCTTTGTGAAAAAAAACCAACACCAAAAAAACCCCAACCCAACAAACACCCAAAGAAGTACACTAGCTCCTGTCCACAGCCACTGAGCTCTAAGAAGGTACCCAGATAGATGCTGGAGCATTTGCAGACCGAACAGCAGAAGCAGGTTTCACGGTAGGACTCAGCTTTGGTGGACGGAGATAGCGGGCGCTGCCTGTGCCCACTACGAGGGGCCTTTGTACTGCTGCTTCTGGAGCAAGGCTGATGCAAGACTGGAATGGTCCCAGCCTCATATTCCCTGCAGATGACAGCTACAGACCACAGTCACTGGCACAACGTAACATGAGCTACAGAATAGAGGTGCTGTTTCCCATGGCTTTCTCATCCTTCATGCCTATGGTATGAACCCAGAAACGTAACATGAGCTACAGAATAGAGGTGCTCTGTTTCCCATGGCTTTCTCCTCCTTCATGCCTATGGTCATACCCAGGAGCCAGGCTGGTACCAGCAGACTCCCTCAGGCCAGTGTAGCCTCAGCATGGGACTTGCCCATGTTCCTCATATTTGACTGCTTAGATAAAATATGCAGAACTGGTGTAAATCACGTTCTAACACCAGCTTCATCTTGGCACTGTTGTTGTTGTTGATGATGTTCATCTACCAGATTGGGATTTTTATCTATTTTATTTGCCTGGGGTTTTTGGAGTTCTACTGCAATACTCTGCAGTGGGATAAGAAAATGCACAAATACTGACTAAGCCTCTTAATTTGATGGGGATGTGATGGCAGTAAAAGGTAAGTGACAATTCTACATCTGATTTTACTACATTATTTTTGAGAAAAACTCTAGACAAGTCTTGAAACCGCATCATAAAAGCCTTCTTTGCAAGTTTGGCTGGTTGCATTCTACAGGTACCTAATTGTGTGAATGAAGAAATAGTTACTAAAAATCAGCAGGACAAAGACAGAAAAAGTACATACTGAGCAGTAGCCTGGAACAGTCTTCAAGAATATACAAGCACTGGAGACTAGCAGTCCTGTTACATCCACAAAAGCTGACACACTTTGAACACCAAGATTCTGCTGAGCAGTAGCCTGGAACAGTCTTCAAGAATTTACAAGCACTGGAGACTACCAGTCCTGTTAAATCCACAAAAGCTGACACACTTTGAACACAGATCTGTACAAGCCCACCAGCATGCATGACCATCAGCAACTGGCTGTACAGCACGTACAGCATCCAAGGTGACAATAGCTGCTACATGCAGACAAAAATTACCAGACTATACATGCATGTGATGAAACAAAGGAGGCCTTCAGAGCCAAAGCCACAGGTGCATCAGTACCACCTTCTGCTTCTGAGCAAACAGCTGACTTTGGCCTCCTAGTTGTTGCTCCAATTATGAGTTGCTCATGTGTGGTTAATAACCACTTGATTAAGAAAAGGTGTTCTAATAAGTACCAGTTGTGATGCTGTCTCCAATGACCTGATTCCCTCCCAGAAAGAAAGGGAATTTGCAGCACACCCTTAAATACTTAAATTTCATCCAGAAGTTTGTTTTTCATTCAGGACTTTTTTTCCTAAATATGGCAATAGCAATTTTAGTTTAACAATAATGAAAAAATCCAACTAAGCCTAAGCTTATGGCTCACAAACTGTTTATTTAACAACAGCAGTGAGAATTCTCAGTAAATTCTCAGTAAATTAACACAAGTGTGAACAGAACATACAGGATAAAACATACTTACAGAAACTACTAACTGAAAGTAGGGAGAATACCTACCCAGTATAGTTAAGTTCTGTTTGATATAAATATGTATACTTCTCATATGTTTTTGTAAGCACAAAGAGAAAAGATACGCAAAGACCATTTAAAGAATCTTCAGCTTCAGTTTTAAAAAGCATGTAATGTACAGTTTAGTAATAATGAAAACATCCAGAGAAAAAATTAAGGGTTTTTTGGTACATGTGTTTTCTCCAGGAAGAAAACTTACATGGGACAGTGGATCTGTTTGAAAAAGGCTTGGTAAACTGAGAAATGGGAAACCTGGAAGATCTTAGGCAGCATGCATTTTACTGTCAATTTTTCCATTTCCCCCTTTTTTTTCCCCCTTTGGTACAGAGCACATGCAGGAAAAATATCAGCTCTATCTACCTGCCAGTCTTCCAGTTCATTAAAAACGTTGGCATGCAGAACCTAGAAAAAACAACTGGTACAACCTAACAAACCTAGAATAAGAACTACTACCACAGCATTGTCTTGGGAAGCCACACCATTATTTTTAAGTTGGTTTTTTTTTTCCTTCTCATTCTTTTCCTTCTTACTGCTGTTATTGCCCTCTCCTTTACTAAGCTACCCCACAATGAAATCAGTCACATGGATCATACACATTATAAATTAACTCCTGATTAAACATAGTTATACTTGGTGACCTGCTAACATGTTTAACAGAAAATACTGTCACTTCAGCTTTTATTCACTGAGTATCAACTATATAGACAACGTTCCCTTTAAGACATACCTGCAGTATGAGCGATTCTTTATCACCTTCTAATCGTGCCAATCTTTCTTGATAAGTTTCATTATTAGATGAATGATGATTCACCTGTGACTGATGGGAAAAGAGTGCTATGAGAATTTTTACAGATAATATTAAAATTTCAAGCAATAGTTAATGAAAAATTATACATCGAGTGGTTGTTACAACAGAAAAAGCATGCAAAATGTGTCTGCAGACCAAACCTGTTTATTTCATGTGCATTAAACCTTTTGAATGTAATCATTTTAGCTGCATTTTGAATATTTTCTCATTTTAGCAATCACGAATGGCATATGAATAGATTTGATATTTTCTAGCATATTATCATTTCATTGGGAAACACCATCTTATCAAGACAAAAAACATTTAATTTGAAATATCTGGTCTCAACAGCCTTTTGCCAAAGTCAAAGAATCTTTCTGTTTTTTTTTAAATGGTTAAAAAATGCCATATGTATTATACCAGTCCTATAAATTACTGAAAGAAAAATATAATTTTTTTTTGTTAGCAATTAAGAAATTATTTAAATTACCAAATTATTATCAGGAACTACTCTAACTGCGTAACCACTTATGGATTTCTAAATGGCTCTATGGAGCAAGACCTTCTAAAATATGGCTTGTTCCTAACTATTATGTCCCACTTCCTATGGATTTTAATAATTCAGAGCAAACCGCCACATTTAAAAAAAATCTGCAGATTTATTATAAAAAAAAGTTTAGAAGAGTCCCATAGCTTCATCCTGCATAATAAAATATTGTGTAACTGTGGGAAAAACCTTTTCACACACCCTTGGGCCATATTTCTCTTCATATTGCCCATATAGTAACACTGATATATTTTCATCCTAGGATCCTTTTTTAACAGTCTTATTAAGCTAGCATCCTGTCCTTCATCTTGTGTTTACTCATCGTTTCTGCTTAAATGTATAACCTTGCACTAGCCTATACTGAATTGTGTCCTATTGTTTATATTGTTTTCCTATACATCAGGCTGCTTCTTATGTCTGAATCATGTCCATCAGCATGGGCCTTGTGCCCCTAATTAGTATCACCTATAAATTCACTAAGTTTGGTCCTTATTCCCTGTTTTAGAGGGTCAACAAGAGCACAACAATGAAGAACAACATGTGCAGAACCTCACTCCACACCTCACTTATTGGCATTCATTGTCAAAAAAATATGTTAACTCTACTCAGAATATACTTTTCTCTCTATCTTGTGATCAGTTTATAGCAGGTACAACTAAGATTCAAGACCTCACACAAATATGCACATGTGAGTGCAGAACATACACAAACAGAAGTCTCAGACAAGTGAGTAAGTTACACTGGCACCTGTGGGGAGATGGCCCACTGACCAAGTACATAATGTCCTTAAAGGAATGGTGACTTCACTCCCTCTTCCTCTCACAAGTAAATTTAATTTCTTAGAATTTCTGTATCCTAACATCTCTGTCCATCTTTCCTAACATCTCAACGTAATTTTTTCAAGTCTTCTTTTTTTATTAGGAAATACCACCCTCCCACCCCCACTACGTTTATAAAACATGCATCTTCAATTTAATTTAGGCCCTTTGTTAGTCTTAAAGTTCATTCCTTATTAACTTTTGTGGTACTATAATGAAAATAAAGGATCCTTCTAAGTAAACAACATGCGTTTCTGTAGGTCTGCCTAGATAATCTTTTGACCTCAGTTATGCATCCTCAATCCTCCTGCCTGCTTTGTTAGTCCACTTAGAGAGCAAAGTCTTTACTGTAGTTTAGAATAGAAAATCTTCAGCTTTGGTGGCTACGTTTCCATTAGGGTTAAAATGCCATTACATACCATGAAATGGAAAGCCAACAGGCCTTCCCCAGAATCTCTCTGGCTCATACACAACATTAGGGAGACTTTCCTGCACCTAGATCATCAAGTATTCGGGGAAGAACAGCACACTCTTGGCAGGAAAAGATTCTCTTAATGACAAAACCTGGTAGATTTTGCATCTTTCTGCCTGCCATCATTTCCTAGGTTAGATTTAAGAAATATACCTGTAAGCACTTGTGTAACCACTCCCCCCCAGCCTTACAGGCACAGTGAGTTAAATTACTGCCAACATATTTTTATATAAGCAATCTCCCAAGAATCCAAAACAGTGTTCAACATTTTGCGTAATCAGTAATTCAGTTCAATATCAAATCACAAATAAGATATTTTACTACACTCACATTTACCAAATGTATAGCGTCTGATGATGTCTGCTGCGTGAAATATCCTCTGCTGGAAGTCCAACACTCAATACCCATGCAAAACCTAGTAAATCCCACCCATGTGAACAGAAAATGGAAAACAAAAAAGAAAAAAAAAAGAACCCTGCCAATAGGTCAGGCAGAGAGTGCTCAGAGGAAAGTCCAGTAGACAGAAAATGACCTACTAAATAAAAGTGGCTGATTGACACGCAGCAGTTGTTTAAGACTTGGGAAAGCTTTGTGGCATGCATAAAGACAAGATAAAACAATGTAATGTGAACCAAGGCCATCTGTGGATGGTTGGAGTGCATTCTACAGTTGTGAAAGTCAGTACTGAGAAGAAACTGAGCAAGTATAGTTAGCTATCATATGTATCAGCAGCAATGAATATAGGACCTACAACACTGAAGTTGTGAGACTACAAACCACTCAAGTCGGTGTAAGAGCTCACAAGCAATAAACACTGAGCTTTTGTAACCACACGACCAAAAGGCTGATTTTCCACAAAGATGTTATTTCAGAAGATGTAGCCTTAAAGACCAAAAATTATTACCTAGGCTCCACAAATTATAAGCTAAGTATGTTAATTATATTTCATGTAATGAAAGAATGAGAGAAATTGCATAAAACATGTAAAACATGTAAAAAGTTTAAGATAACACAATTTAATAGTTTAACAGCCATCAGATTGCATCAGATATTAACATAAAACATTTCCTCATGAAATTCCAAATCAATTGTTTCTCCTGGCTCTAGGGAAAAAAAAAAAAAAAAAGAAAAAAAAAAAGAAAAAGAGGCTTTTGTATTCTATCACTTGCTTCAGATTCTTCATCTTTTGTTTCCAAATCTCTCTCTGGAATATGCGCTTTTCTCTAACTCAGACATAATATTGGTAGCTGCTGGAAACCTGACTAAGTATCACTTGCATGATCAAGTCATTAGAGAGTCCTCTTCCAAGAAAAAGGCTTAAATATTCCTTCAGAATATATGACACACAAAAATCAGACTTTAGAGTATGATTCAACAGCTTTAATTTAAAATGGGGATAATCAGCAAAAAAAATAAAAGGGTGTGGCAAGAAAAGGAATAAATGTTTGGTGGACTCAGCTAAACCAATTTGCAACAGCCTTCTCAGAGCCCAGTAAGTACAGAATGTTTTTTTTTCTTGCATGTTATTTTAATAGGAAACAATTCAAAATGCAGGTTACTGTCAGACAGAATGACAAGCATTGTATAGTACTTCTGTACAGATGTTCTCTTCAGAAGCTTCTGTAACAGAACTTCTAGCTGAATCTTGATGGGCTGTAAAAGTAAGCCCCTTAAAGCAACTACACACGCAAGACAATAACATTGAATACAGGCCAGTTTATGTTCTCCTCATGTGCTGTTTCAGTTTCAGCTCAAAGAATCTCCTACACAGATAATTTTAAAATAAAATTACCAACTTATGAAGTTGATCAAAACACTGTCATACAGAAATATGTCACTAATACTATGGATCTCATATTGGGATGTGGAGGGGGGAAGAGCTGGGAGAAGAAACCTGGCAGTCAAGAGTGGTGATTTGTGAGCTTTTTCAACAAGTCACTTGCCTCTTTTAGAAGACAGATTATGTCATAACCTTTCTTCTTATTCAGTCACATGAATCACCTTCAGTTCCACAGAGAACTGAATAAGATGCCTGTGGCAACTATAATACTTGTGTTAATGGGGAAGACCACAGACATGCTTGATGTACTGTCTTTTGTTGCAGTTTAGAAGATGAGAACAAGGAGTATAGCAAGCAGAGTTCAACCAGTCCTCCCACGAGCTACTAGCAGCACAGAAATCATAGTACTATATTTCAATACAAGAAAATGTACCTTGTAGACTTTTTCCAGCCTATTTGAAGTTTATAATATTTAGAAGAGTATGGACTTTCCATCTCTATTACTTTTTTCCAGTCAGTAAAATTTATGTTATTAGTCACAGTCGTTGCTATTGTATAGTGATGAGTGAGTAGTCTACACAGTAAACATTTTTATTTTGGCATCTGACTATGGATCTAATACAAACTTAATCTCTCAGCATGTTAGCTCTACCTCAGATACACACATTTATTCAATGTACTTGAGGAGGAGGAGAAGGCTGGAACATGACTTCTGGATCTGCAATTCTTGCCTTACATCTGAAGATAATTAATAAAGCAACAACAGGATTTTCTATTTGCCGTTGTTCCTTGTTGGTTAAGTGAAAGTGGCAGTTACTTTGAAAAAGCTAACAGCCTATAGTATGAAATGAATTAAAGACAGAGCTAGGTAAATTTCTGTAGTCCTTAAAATAAAATAACTTTGACCAAATATTAATATTTTTCTGGATAGTTTTTCCTAATATTAATATCTGTTTTCTCCTCCAGACAGTCACATTACTTAAAGGAAGATACCCTTACAAAAGTCATAAGATTCACCCTCGATATCATAAACTTAACGGCTATAGCATGGGTTTGATTGCTCCACCTCTTCCTAGTACACATTAGCATCCAGAAGAAAGGAAAGAAAAGCCCAGGAATAACGTACACCTGTTTCAGGTCAGCCATCAGCTCTGTGCTGTATGCCCTTCAAAAGGTAAGTCTAAAGCAAGCTACAAGAGCCATCAGACCCTTGCACGTTATAAGGCGGCATCTCTCTTTCAAAAGGAAACTTCTTACCATTGTACAAAGTTTTCCAGAGACAAGAGACCTTCCATTTTGCTCATTCCATCCACTGCAGTTCAAACAGCTCAGTTAATTTACAATGCCCTTAGAAAGCCCATAATAGTGTTTGTAGTAATTATTAGCATTAATGTTTGCAATGCTTATTAATAA